TGACAGCACAGTCTATTTGGTGATTTTAACCCCAAAGCAGAACCACCACAAGGCAGAAAAGAAACATATTTTTTTATAGGAGCTCAGTAAATCCAAGCTTTTTTTACTTGGTTGGTCCCAGACAAACAGGGAGAACAAGGAAGGATAGATCTTTCTGTGAAATTTCCATTTCTGCTCATGCCTTCAGCAGACACAATTCGGTCCCCTTTTCAACCAACGTTCCTGCAGTTACATAGGATTCAATGCACAACCCACCATCTGCATTAGCCGTGATGTGGCTTTAACTACACCTGAAGGGAAATGCATCTAGCCAGCTAACAATTCTGTTACAGGGAACCCCAGCCTAGAATCTTTAAGCTACTCCAAGTTGAAGCTACAAACCAAAGACCTCAAAGAGGGCATCTATTTTCCTTTGCTGACTTGGCCTTGGCAGTTGTGTGTGTGTGTGTGTGTGTGTGTGTGTGTGTGTGTGTGTGTGTGTTCATTTTCAGGTATCAGAGGCCAACACAACATCCAGGAGAGCCAGGGTGGTGTAGTGGTTAAGGGCATGGGACTGGGACTCAGACGACCTGGGTTCTAGTCCCCACTCAGCCATGGAGCCAACTGGGTGACTTTGGGCCAGTCACAGCCTCTCAGCCCAACCTACCTCACAGGGTTGTTGTTGTGGGGATAAGATGGGAGGAGGAGAATGATGTATGCTGCCTTGAGCCCTTTGTAGGAAAAAGGCAGGATATAAATTGAAAAATAAATAAAAAAATTAAACCCTTGCAGTGGCATGGAAATAACGGCAAAATAATTATTAGGATTAAAAAATGTTTATTTTACTCTTTGTATGCAAGCATCCTGCAGTTTAGTCTCACAACAACATCACTGTACGCTACCACCAGGTCAGGCAATTTGCCCCGATCCTTATTGTGTACTTCAATGCACTCTTCAGGAGAAAACTTTTTCCACATTACTTGCAAGCTGATTCTTTTAACTGAAAATGTCAGCAGCTAAATCTGGGACCTTCAGCATAGGGCTCCTAACCTTATAAACCTTAAGTTGAAAGACAGTGACTTTCCCAAGTCCCCTCAGGAAGGGCCGGGGCAAAGCAGGCATCTGGACCCCCGTTTCTAATGCTCCCCATTGTCCCATGACCTCTTTTGACCTATCCATTCACAGAATGACATCCAAGCCCATTACTGCTCCAAGCATGTACAATACAAAGCCCCTCACGCTAAATTTGTTTCCCCTCACTTACCCTCTGTCCCAACTTATCAAGTCTTAACCGAGACAAACACAGGTTTAATCACTAGTTATGTTCTAGTTCATGCATTTTGTGAGACAAAGCAAAACCTGCCCTCAAAGTTGCAACACTGCGCAACATCAACACGATCGTGAGGCCACACAAAAAAGATCAGGCGTGACCCAGTAATCCTCTTTAGGCCTGAGCACTCACTTTTTCGCTTTGTACACATAGGCACATTTCTTGCCTAAGTAGAATTCTGTTTCGTTGCGTGAATAAACACCTTCAATCTTCAGAAGAGCTGTGTGCTCCCTTTGATTTCGGAGCCCTCGCTTGTAGCCAGCAAAAGTGGCTTTGGACCATAACCTAAGGAACAAAATGCACAAGAATTAAGTCCCAGCCATTCTACCACACTGTATTATCACATAGACTGCAAAGCAGGTCAAGTCTGCATCAACAGAAAGCCTCCCACAGCTCAAATACACAAGATCTTTAGCTATTCTGACAGTGCCATGGTATTTACTGCAAAGCAACCCTTTTGTAGCTTTTATGTACCCTGGCACTAGCCTGTATATACACAACACAGTGAAGGCTTGTAGAATAAAGGAAAGCGTACGACAGACACATGCGAGAGGAGACAGGTTGTAAGGGGAAGGTAAAAATTTCCAGAAATGCCGTTTCCTACCTGCCAGTCATGGTGCTGCTGTGAAGTCCTGTCTCTAGCAGGCCTAAGGAAGGAAAGAAACACCAAGTGCAATCATTTGGGAAATGCAGACCTCAGTATGAGTCCACGGAAGGTGGCTAATGTGGAATGGGCAATTCCAATCTTCCTGTGCTTTTCTTCTAGTACCAGCGAGAGAAAAGAATGAACGGGTAAAGCACGAACTTTCCACCAAGGCTAGCAGCTACATTCAAGCTAACAGAGATTTTAGGCTCACTGCCCCACAGCCTACTTTCTTCTCTACACTTCATCATCAAACCCCTTGTCCTCCACTGAAACAAGCCCACTGAAAACCTACCAGCAGGCATGGCGTGCTTTTTTTGCTCTTGCAACTCTTTCAGCACTTGCTCAGTCAAAAATGCCAAAATGTGGGCAGCACTAAAAACAGTGAGACAGCATAAATGAAAGCTGCGGATAATGCAGGAGTTTGAAACACCTGTCATATTCTGCATCAAGAGGCAATAACTACAAACCAAGCATCTTTCACAAGTGCTATAATCCCCTCTTTATGTAGACCAACATCTAATATTATATAGCTACTTAGGATTCTTGTAACTGAATAATTGAGAACTCTACTTAATCCTGTCTGTCTGAGGTAGCGTGACACAGTAGTGTTAGAACTAGGCTTGAGAAATGCCAGTTCAGAGCAATATACTCTAACACCGAGGTGCTCACTAAACAGTATTCAGAGAACACACATATTATCTTGCTGGAAGCTCACACAGATATAGGAAAGTCCTCAATGAAGATATAATCAACTGGAGGATGACAAGGAGAGTGGCAGGGGGCTGAGCTCACATGCTTACCCTCTCCTCCCCCTATCTGTGTCCATTAGATGTTGGACCAAAACTTGTAAATTGCCTCAAGCTGTTGTGAGAATAAAAGAAGGTAAGTCCATTTACCCCACTCTGAGCTCCATGGAAGACAGGCACAATGCAGATGTGACCCATTAGTAAAGTGTGTTCACAGCAGTCAATGTGCACTCCTAAGGGTAACCCTGCAAGGTATGGCAGCATCAGCCCCAAACCGCCACAGGGGAATGGGGCCAAAAGAACAGTGGCTTGACTGAGGTAAGATTTCCTAGCCACTACGGCCGCCTGCACTTCTCTGCATGGTTATTAGAATTGCCATATCAGAAGACATGAGGGCATCTAGCCCAGTATCCGTTTCCAGTGCTGTCAACCAGGTATCCCTGTGAGGCCCATCAAGCAGCAGCTGTTCAGGTACACTGCCTCTGAACCTCAAGGCTGGCTCTGTTCAGCTACCATCACAGGGAGTTATCACCAATGGCCATACTCCCACCCCCGAGTTTGCCTCATCCTTTTTTCAATAGCCATGCAGGTTAGTGGCCATTACCCCATCCTGCTGCAGTGAATTCCACTAATTAACCACATGTTGCAACAAATTCCAGAAGGATAGCCCTCTTACTCTGTGGGGGAAAACACAAGTCTTGTGGCATGTAAAGGCTAAATAAGTTATTGTGAAAAGGCTATTTTGTGAGCCAGATCCTGCTTTGTGAGAGACATCTATGGCATGTATTCATACGATCTCCCCTCTCTGGTGCCCGATATATGACTGTCTCTCCCCAGACACCAGGATGGGGAAGGCTGCACTTTAACATACCGCTGCTCCTTTCTGTCTGTATTGAAAACCTGCACAATTGCCTGCCTCTGACTTGCAGCAGTTCATCAGTCTCAGGGAAGGGAAGACTTTCCCAGGCAAGAATTCTCCACTGGAGAAATCAGAAGAACCTTCTGAAAGCAAAGCATCTCTCTACCACAGAGCTATGGCTGATTAATCTTTAAAACTCCCATCAGCTATAAACATCATACTAACCAAGAACCATGGCAACAAGGTCAGACTCTAGTCCCCTGTAAGGGGGACATCTGTAGGGGGATCAACCCCTACAAAGGCCCCCGCTTCACAAAACTAGGCAAGGACAGATATTTGGAAAAGTTCTCCGGAAGGCAGATCCACCAATGGGCGCCATCACCACTCAAAGGGGGCCTCCCTGCCCAGAAGCAGCAACCTGCTTGGGGGCTCCCTGTGGGAACCTGAATGGGGAAAAGGCCCACCAGCCTAGTCCTGTGCACAAAGACTTCCTACGGACCGAGTCCAGTTGAGCCAGTTCCTTTTACAGTACCTTTAAGGACAAGCGGCCACCTCTGCACCATCAGCCCAAACGGGACTGGACAAACTCCTCGAAGAGAAAGCTCTCCATGGCTGCTGAGCCTCAGGCTACCACCAGTATCAGCAGCAGCAGGTCTGGGCACGCCGTCTGACGGGGAACGCGGGTGGGAGGCGGCCGCAGTCGCGCCCTGCTCGTGGGTTTCCCACTGGAGACTGGCTGGCCACTGCCTGACCAGAAGCCCCGGCTGGATGGGCCCTCAAGTGACCCACCAGCGCTCTTCTCATGCTCCAACTCCTCGCTGCCGGCGCCCGTCGGCCAAAGCTCCCCCACCTGCAGGCGCCGAGGGGGAGGGGGAGGCGGGGAGCGAAGGCGCCCCTCCCCGCCACCCAGTCCCAGAGAAGGCCTCTGCGGCATCAGCTCTGGCTCGGGGCCCCGGTGGCATCCAGCCCGCATCCGAGCCATCCCGCCGTCCCCCGCCGCCGCGCCCGGCCACACGTGCTACGCGACCCTCGCTGGGCCCTCCCGTCCGCCTCTGAGGCCGCTTCACCCCGGAACCTCAGCACCCACGAGGCCTATGCAGCCCTCAGCTCCTCTCACCTCAGCAACACCGGCCCAAGATGGCGGCGAGAAAGAGCGAACGCGGCCGCGGTGCCAGCTGGGATAGGAAAATGCAAGGCCCACCGCACTGCCCGGTGAGGCGTCCAACGCATTCGCCTGCCGAAAATTCCCTGCCGAGACCGATCCTGTGGTCGTTCGCTTAATTTTAAACGCGGCTTTTTTTCTATCCCAGCACTCCCCCGGCACTTTTCACCCCAGTTGTGATAAGCCGCGTTGTTTGTTATTGGGCAGCTGGTGGAGAGGCGCTCGTCAGGACCACCTCTGCGCCTCAGCGAGGCCCCGCGTGCAGCTTGGCGGTAACCATGGCGACCTCTTCGCCCGGGCGGGGGCCTCGTGGGTGAGTCTTCAAGGAGGGCAGAATAAACCCCAAATAAGCCCATTTTCTCCCTTCTTTCCCCCGTGCAGGCGCTGGGGGTTCACGTAACTATTCTTCCAATGGGATGCAAGGCCAAAAAGGGGGGGAGTGGGGAGAAGAGACCCCCCCTCCCGCCTAAAGGCCAAGAGGATAATTCGTTAGACAGAAATATCTGAGACACTGATTATGGCTTCGTTGCATCCCTTCTGTGTAAATAGTCCTAGGGCCGCTTACAAAAAGCGTTTGATCGTGTGCCTTAAGCTGCAAACCTGCGCATGTGGTTGTGATGTGCCGTGGAGCCATCTCCCACTGCTTAGCTCTTGCAAATTCCAGGCTGGGCTGCCTTGATGGAGTCCGTCCGTCCGTCTCCGATTTGGTGCCTGTGTGTCCCTAGACAGAAAAAAAAGAGACCCCACCACTGGGGAATGCTGGGGGTTGTAGGGCTTTTGCTGTCCCAGCATGTACAGGATTGCAGTTTAAGATGAGAGATGCTTTGAGTGGGTTATTCCTCTGATCAGATGGTGGGTTTTCAACCTGTTCTGGATGGGGATGCACTCCTCTTGAAAGAGGTGTGTGCCTCGATCAGTCTTTGTCAGTTTGGGGGCTCAAGAGGCCTGAAGTTGTTGTTTTGTGCTGGGAAGTCGTCTCTGACTTATGGCGACCCTATGAATGGAAGCCCTCCAAAAAGCCCTGACCATTCGGCTCTCCCAAGTTCATGGGCTTCCTTTATGGATTCACCCCATGAAATACCTTCCACCAACGTCTGCTGGTGGCCCAGCTATGCTTCTGTCTAGAAGTGATAGAAGGTAGCTTGGCTCCAGTAACCTACACCCTGGCAGTCTCTAGACTACTGCAGTGTGCTCTTTGTGGGGCTGCCCTTGAAGTCTTTGGAACCTGCAGTTTGAGCAAAATGTGGCCGCTGAATGAATAACGGGGACCAGACAATTCAAACATATACCTCCTGTTCTGGCCCACTTGCACTGGCTGCACATACACTTCCAAGACCAATTTAAGGTCCTGGTTCTAGCCTGTACAGCCCTACAGCTTGGAGGCTCATAATCCCTGTTGGAGCTCCTCTTCCAACTATAATGTACCTGGAAACTATGGTCCACATCAGGTGGCAGCGAGGAGGAAAGCCTTCTCTGTGGTAATCCCCACATTGTGGAATGGCCCAACTGGTACGAATTTGCAAGTGTAATTTAAAACATTTAAAGGGAATGTTACAATGTTTTTCCTGTTCTGTTTTTACATGGCATTTATCCTATCTATTAACTCCCGTGTGCTGCCCAGAAAGCTTTGGCTATTGGAGGGACACAAGAATAAAAGGCATTGCTAATGTAGCTCACTAGTGGAATACCTATTACGATGTGGAATTCACCTTCTTCACAGCAGCCGCGTGCCCGTTGCCAGCCTGAGCAGCCAGGGGTCACGATGACGAAAAACCATCCGCAGGGCCACGCGCTCCCTGCTCCCAGCTTCGTGCTTCGTGTGAAGCCCTGCGCATGCATTGCCTCAGGACAGACGTGTGTTGTTGTCACACTTGTCTGGGTGCCGTGACAGACAGTACTGGCATGTGGGTTCAGGGACGGTTTGGGCCGTGGGGTGGAAAGGACCGCAGCCACAATTTGGCAGTGCTCCCGGTGCCCCTGGCAGTGCTTTGTCAGTGTCGGCAACGCACTTTCTGGCACTGCCACTAACACCCCGGTCACATTTCGCTTGGGCCCCCGCCACAGGTGCCATGGGGATGGCCCCCCGAAACAGCAGCTGGGGCAAATGAAGCGCTGGGAGTGGTTTCTGGTCACGGCTCATCATTACGTATTTGTAATATTACATATTACCTATTTTCAGTTTCAGTGGCTCCCTCTTTGTTTCTAGGAACAATTAAACACACCAGTTGCCTCTCTCTTCTTGTTCACCAATCCATTTCTTTATCTTCTATTTTTATATTATCAAGAATAATGAAAGGGGCAGTATAACTGGCTTGCATTGCCAGTTCTTTCCAGACAGAGAAATGAGACCTTTCCTGGAAGATTAGTCTGTAGCTCTACTTTATATTTCTTAAGCATACATACATGACTTTTAGGTTGCAATCCTAAAGACACGTATTGGGGAGTAAGCTGTGTTGAATGTTCGAGTCGACACATGTAGGATTGTGTTGTAAAATTGAGCAGGCTGTTTTCTCTAAACCTCCGCTGCCTAGTGTGGTGCCCCCTGCATGTCAGACTACAGTTCTCAGAGCTGCTGCGAGTTGCAGTCCAGCGCATCTGGAGGGCACCAAGCTGGGGGAGCCTGCTTTAAGCGGCGCCCAAGTGGGTTAAGGCCTCTTCCGCCCAAAAGAGGGCGCTGCAGATGGCATGGAAATGCTTCCTGCTTTTCATTTTATGGGCCTTGCAACTTTGAAGAACAAAGAGGCCAGAGCGTCAGCTAGGAAAAAGGCTGAAATTCCTCCAGCACAAGTAATCAGAGCGGCTTGATTTAGTACGGAGTTGGTTAGTTCAGCTCCTGTCGCCCCTTTCCCCAGGGCTGAGAGTAGGTAAACACTGGTAAGAATAAACAGTCTCACAATGAAAGCAAAACACCCAGTAAGTTAAAACCACATCTGTTTGATGCTGCGTGCCAGCCGCTTCCCTCTACATGCTGGAGCTGAGAAGGAGCCTTCTGGTCTTCTTGCCCTCTTCTCCTGCACTGGCTTCAGGACAGCGACCGTCCCATTTGCTTTCCACCCTGTAAGCTGCTGAAAAAGGAGAGGCCAATGAAATGAAGATTATTCAGCGTCCCTCCCCTTGCTTAGCTTGCCCATCACTCTGCCGGACTGTGGCCTTTGGGAAGGGGAGCTGGAGGTGGTGCAGGTGGAGGGAACAAAAGGCTTACCTAGAGCGCCTTCAGCGATGCTGCCAGATCCCGGGGTCTGACTGTGAACAGGAGGCGTGTGGCCTGGCCTGGCCTTCCCCAGCAGGGTTGCGGGGTCGCGGTGGAAGGCCTTCGAGCTTGGCGCAAAAGCAGTCCGGCATGCACGGGGGAGGAACCGGAGCACACCACGCCCCAAGCGCCTCGAGGGACAGAGGCCTTCTGCCACGACCCTGCAGGTGCTTTCCAGGTGTGCTGCCTGCAACCCCCATCATGCCACCACGCATGCGCACCCGTCCCTTAACTGCAGACACAGGACATCTCACGCTGCTTTTCAGGATGCCTCCAACGTTCCTCCTGCTTTTTCTCGTGTGTGTGCACACACAGCCCGCCCAGTCGTTCCCAGCAGGCTCCCCCAGTCCCCTGCTGGCCTCTGCTCCCCACTGGCCTCCTGGGCCCCCCTTCTCCGCAGATGGCCTCGGCACCGTTGGCACGAGCCCCGTTTGGGCAAGGAGGCCTCCCCGTTGCGGACCGCTGCCGTCAGCTGGAGGCCCGTAGGCTCCGCACAGGTGCGGTTGGGAGTCAAGGGAATGGACCCCCTGCTCCCATGCAGGGCTGCATGTCCCGCAGTCGCGTCCCGCACCTTCAAGGTTAGATGGGCATGGCCTGCCCCTGCCAGTTTTCCTCTCCACTCACTATCATTCTGGTTTTGTGCACGAACCGAGGAGGAGAAAAGCGACCAGCGCAGGGCTCCCTGTGTGCAGATCCGTGCTGCATCCGGATGCACCAGTCTGTGTCAGGCTGATGGCGCTCAAAGAGGCTTCCTGAGCAAATCACCCTTGAACACACGTGACTCTGCGTGTATTTCGTCCGGGACAGACGCTTCCCCACAGGGTCTCCAGCGAGATCTTTTTCTCAGTCCTTCTGCCGTTCAGCTGTCGCCCCTCCCCGACTCGCTTGGTCCTTCTGGATTTGAAGGAGCTGACCTGCCACAAAGGGGGTCAGGAGCTGTTCTAGCCCACAGGTGTCTCCTTTCCAAAGCCGCCAGGAGCTGTTTGTCTAGCAAATGCCAGGGATGGAATGTGACCATTCACGGCATCGGCTAACCTGACCACCGAGCTGGCTGCCTGCCGCACAGCTGGAAAGGTGCCGGCCTTTGACTCTCCTGTGGCCTTTGGACAGACGCGTGTGCTCTCTTCTGCCCAGGGAAGCGCAGGTCCAGCTGAAGCCAGCCAAGCTCACCCCTCTGGACGCGGTACGCCTCTCCGCGCTGCTGGAGGACTGCACAGACCAGCTCACCATCCTTGGCTACATCATGCCCGTTTCCTACGAGGGCAGGAAGGATGTCAGCAATGTAAGTGCCTCGTGCCGTCATGGAAGGGCAGCTGGGGGCGGCGGGGCAGTAGGCGTGCTCTTTCCCACGTGAGGCAGCATTTCTGTCCTGCCTCGTGAACTACCCCAGGGTAATCCCTTTCTAGAATTATATTTTTATTTTATGCCATTCTGTTGGCCCTTCTCCAATGGGTACCAGCCTTGCTGAGTTTTCCCCCCATTATATGAATCATGATGTGTGGACTCCATTGGGGAAGCTGCAGCTGAGCTGACAAGAGCAAGCAGTGCTGTCCAGGACAGGACATCTTGGCGGGCGCTCACTGTTATGGCCACTGGATGACAGGGACGACTTGACAGCACATTGCAATGACGACGAAACTATCCGCTCCCTCCGTGGCTTTCCTTTTCTCCTTCCAGTCTTCCCTGGCTGCTGTTCCAGCTCCAGGTTCACGCTGACACCCTGACTCCGGAGAAGAAATGCCGTCATCCCAGTTAAATTAAACCCCCAAAGACCACTGGCCATGGTTAATGTTATTGCCAACATGAGCAATAAGGGGGAGCACTGGGGAGGCACTTGTGCTGCAGCCTTGAAAGGCGAATGTGGGGGTCCCCCTGGTTCGTTCCAAGGGCAGCTAGGCGAAGGCGGTCCATGAGGAGCGCCTGAAGGGAAGCGCCCCCTGGGCCTGCTTGCCTCCAGGAGCTGGGCTGGAAGGAAGAGGGCACCCCCTGGTCACCCCGCCAACGTGGGCCGTGTGCTTTGTCTCCTCTTGTTCCTGATGTTCCTGAATCTCTCCTTGGCTTCCTGTTCAGCTTGATGAGATGGAGATCAAGAACATCACCGAGAACCAGAAAGCGCTGAGCATCAAATACAAGACCCTCATGGACACTCGGGCAGAGAGCCAGGCGAAGGTCCCGCTTGAACTCGGCAAAATCGCGGACCTCGGGCGACAGCTGCAGGAAACCAGCAGTGACCTGAAGAGGTCCAACCACCTCTTCAACATGGCTACCAAACAGAGCGCTGTGTCTGCAGACAACCTCAAAAAGGTCCAAGCTGACAGGTGAGTCCTGTGAGCCTCAGAGGCCTTCCAGAGAGTCCTCTGCCAAGGAAGCCCAAAAGATAATTTGCTGGGCCGTGTGCCTCAGTAGGACAGCCAGATGAGAACCACAGAGGGCCCCCATGAGTGTGTGGGTGGCTGCCGATGCCGCGGGAAGCCAAGTCCCTTCTCATTTTCCTCCTGCAACCAAGAAGCTGGAGTGCCACTGACACATGAGCCCTCAGAGCCCAGCAGATTCTCATCACCCCCACATTTCTTGGGATGCTGGATTCTTGAAGAAGCCCAGGAAAACATCTGGGCACTTGAGGGACAGTGGCTGGAGGCAGTAGCCTTCCTCCCCTGATTAATACAGGCCCAATCCACCAGGACGTTCGCTGGTTCTTGACCACTCCTGCTTATGTTGGTGGGGCTTGCCCAGAAAACATTCTCGTGGGTCTCGTCCTGTCTTCCGCTCTACCAACCTCAGCGATGCCCAGATCCACTGGCGGAACTGGTTGCCTCCAGATGCCTCATGGCAGAACGGCCTCCGAGCACTTGCCCCACTTGCAAAGGGCATCTCGCTCCACTGCATTTAATTAATATCGCAATTCAGCAGCCGTCTGTCCTGTCTGGCAGGCAGCAAGCGAACGACGTGCTTGAAGACAGCAAGGACGAGCTGCTGACGCTGGGGACCTTTCACACCCTGCAGCTGGCGGTCAGTAGAGAAAAGGATCTGAGGGCCCACATCCAGAACCTCATCTTCAGGTAAAGGGTGTTGTGTGGAAGGACCGCTGCCTGAGTCAGCGCCTGCTCTTCCAACCGGCGGTCCTTCCCTGCTAGGCTGCTTGCAGGGCCTTTTAAACTGGGAAGACGCCAAAGTATACAAGCCACTCTCCTCTCAACTCAGCAAACGGACTGTTTTGATGGCACCGCTTGCTTCTGGTACAAGAGATGCTGTCGTGTGAAGGGCAGACCGCTCCTCTGTGAACGTGCCGGGTCGCTGGAGCCGACCAGGGTTCGCCAGGGGGTGCCCTCTGTCTGCTCAGGGTCTCTTTCCTTCCTGGGCTTCTGCCTCGGAAGACAGGGAGGCGCAGTGCCTGCAGCAGGCAGGGTAGCCAGGGAAGCCCCTTCCCCCGCGGGGCTTGTTCTGGAGCTGCTTTTTGTGGGAAAGGGCCCCTGCTTGGCCTTTCACACTGGCAGGGCGGCCGAAGCGCAGTTCCGTCGGTGGCAGCCAGCAAGAGGAGACAGTGTCCTGGGCCGTGAAAACGTTCTGCCCCCGCGGAAGGCGGAGGCGGCGTCCCTGCAGCTGTAGGGAGTGGGCAGAGCACGCAACATGGGGGAGGAGCCGGGGGGGGGGATCCGCCTCGCTGAGGGACCTTCCGGCTTGCAGAAGTGCCCCTGTGCTTGTCCAGGGTGCGGCTGGTATCTTTCCAAGAACATAGCAAAGGCGCCTTCCGTCTCCACCTGCTCTCTCCCAGCAGCCACCCCGCCAGGTGGCCTCGCCCTCGAAATCATCACCCCCTGGAAGGCAGGCGGTGCGCAACGAGACTTCCAGTGGCCCCCTTCCAGCGTTGGAGGGAGCCAGGGTGGCCCAGCGGACCCAGACTCTAGTCCCCACTTGTGACTCTCGGCCAGCCTCGCCTGCCTCACAGGGCTGTGCGGATGGGATGGTGGAGAGGAGGAAGATTCCCGCAAGAGACCCCGGGGGATTTCAGTAGACGGGTGGGACACGGACATAGGGATAAGCTGCCCGGCTGCTGCCGGCTGGCGAGGAAGGGGCACCTGCCAGGAAGCTCCCTCTCGCGTCCACGGCAGGGGCTGGCTGGCGGTGCCCCAGGGGACCGTGGGAGCTCCCGCTTTCTCTCCACTCTTCCAGGGAGGAGATGGGGCGGAAGAAGATCAAGTGTCTGCAGAAGCAGCTCAGTGACGTCAAGAAGGAAATGGACTTTGAGGTGCAGGTGAGCTGGGCAAGCCTGAGAACCACACAGAGCCCAGCTCTGCCCTGGAAATGCCCTGGGTGCGCGCGCCACCGGACCCTCCTGTCACACGGGGCCTGGCCAGCACAGGGATCCCGTGATCACCCGGCGTGTGCCTGCGGCCACTCATGGAGCAGCGGGAGAGCGTTCTGCCCCGCTCTTTCTGGGGGGGGGGGGGCGCTGGTGTCAAAGGCTTCTTTCTGGGGAGGGGGGGCCCTGGGGAGGGAGGCTGTCCCATGCAGTGTTTCCCTCCAGCACCGTGCCGTTCGCTGGTCACTGCTCTGTTTACAGTGGAGGGGCTCCTGTGTTTCCCCGTGCCAGTCGGCGGGGGGCTTGGGGGGAGGAGCTGGTGCAGCGCACTTGGCCCCTGGGATTCCTGGGGAGGCGGCGCTGGCCCCGAGAACGTCTTGCCAGGCGCGGCTAAGCACCACCCCGTGTCCCACATGCAAGGGCGCTTCTGTTCCTTGAGCTGCTGCCTCGAATCCCAGTGTGCCCGCCAGCCACCCTCTGCACTCTGCTGGCTCTTAATTACTCCAGGGGGTTAAGAACTCCCTAGATGACTGCACTGCACTGCACGTGGGGCTGCCCTTGAAGACCGCTGCCGCTTGCGCAGCTGTGGCAGCCCGAGTGATAGCTGGGACCTGCCGGTCTGAACACGTGACAGCGGTCCTGGCCGGCCGCTCCTGGCTGCTCGCATACTTCTGAGCTCAGTTCAGGGCGCTGGCTTTCACCTACAGGGCCGTGCACACCCGAAGCTCACAGTGCTTGATGGGTGGAGAGCCTCTCCCAGGCACTGTCTGCCTGGGCACCACACTCGACAATCGGGGCCTTCCTCCGGGTGCCGAAAGCAGCAAGAGGGAGGGCTTTCTCTGTGGCGGCCCCGCAGTTAGAGAATGATCTTCCCACTGAGGCTTGGCTGGGGCCAAGCTTGAGATCTTTTCGGCACCAGGTTAAGACAGCCCTTTATGCTGAGGCTTTTAGGATAGCCAAGGACTTGAACAGATTACAAGTTTTTTACAGGGGTACTCTTCACTGCATGCTGTGTTAACTGTTCAAATTTTTTTGTTTTAAAATGTGTGCATTTTGGTAAGATTGAATGGTATAAATCCCTGGCAGAGAACCTGGCTGAAGGGCCTTCTGCCCACTTCACGGGGTGTTAATATGGGGCCTCTGGCGCTTCAGAACCAGGCATGTTACAATACAGCAATGGAGGAGCGGACCGTTTCATTTTGCAAAACTTCAAGTGCTTCACAGAACAGTTCAGCTCTTTTTCAGTCCTGAATACAGTGATCCATCTGTCAGTCCCTGATGGCTCCGTGCGGTTTACAAGAAATTAAAACCAACAGTGAGTTGCATTGACTAAGATGGCATATCGAATAAAACTGACACGAGAACTGATCTGGGAAGGCCTGTCGGGAGAGATATGCCTTCACCTCCTTCTTGAGGTGGGACTTTGGGAACTCAGGCGCCCTCTCATTCCACGGCTCAGGGGCCATCACAGAGAAAGTCCCGTGGGCAGCCGGCATCAGCCTTCCAGAAGTGGACTTCCGAGGATTATCGCAGAGGACCTCGGCGGGTGGGGCGGAGTGCCTGGGCAGCCACTCACGCTCCCGCTGCTCCCTCTCCCACAGAACCGGAATGAGATGATTGCCTACCTGAAAGACCAGCTGCAAGAGATGAAGGCGAAAACCGACATGGAAAGCCGCTACGTCAAGAAGGACACAGAGCTGCAGGTGGCCCAGGTGCAGAAGAGGTGCTCTGCTGCGGAGAACGACCTGCAGAACGAGATTGAGGTGAAGGGTGTGGCGGCGGCGGCGGGGGGGGCGGCTCTAGCCCAGGTGTCCCCAGCCTGCTGCTGGATTGCACTCCTCTGTGGCTGGCCGGGGGACTCGGGCTCCCGAGGGCCAGAGCTGGGCAGACCGGCTCGTGACAGGGAGTCGCTTCAGCGCCGCCGCAGGCCTGTCTAGCCATCGTTCAGTTGCAGGACTGGGCTCCTGAGGGCCAGTCCAGCCCACTTCCTGTGGGGTCGCTGCTGGCAGCTCCTCCCGCCGCATCTCCAACCTGCTGTAGGGAAGCACGAGGGCCCTCGCCTGGCGAAACCAAAAGCCAGGCCATCCCCGCATCCCCTTTCCACGAGCAGGCAGCCGGATGCCTCTGGGGGGGGGGCCACTGGGCATGGAGGCGACAGACTCCCTGGCGCTCGCCCTCCGGAGGGGCCCGTCCCGGGATGCAGGCGCCGTGTGCTTCCCTGGAGCACCGCTGGGCACTCAGTGCAGCAGCGGCTGCGGAGGGGGCGGCCACGGCCCTTGTTTTGCCACGCTGGCCATCCTGCGAGGCGGGTTGCTCCTGCGGATGGAACACGGCGGCTGAGGACACCCGGGACCCTGCGCTCTGGCCACCACCCGCAAAAGTCCCGAACGAACGTCTCGTCTTCCCGAGCCACACCGATCATTCGTAGGGCGCAGAGCACAGCCGCGGCACGCCGCCCGGGGTGACCTCTGCAGTGGGGCAGCCTCCGCTCTGCGTCGTGCACTGCCTTGCTGCCCCTGCTGTGGGGTCCTGGTGCAGCTCGCAGGGCTCCCGGGAGGTTCTGAGGCAGCACCAGGGCGCCCTCTTTGGGCCAGAGACCGGAATAGCAGCCCTGGGGTCGCAGGACGGGGCCCACAGTCGATCGATCGATCGCAGCCACCTGGGATGTTGGGAGCACCACCGGGAGCCCCGAGGGAAGAGCTGGTGCAGAACCGGCTCCTCCCTTCAGATGCTGCCTCAGCGACAAAGGTCCTTCATGCTGCTGGTGCTCTCTGTGCCTTCTGGAGCCCGTTTCCGGAAGCCGCCCTTCGCCTTGCCGCTGCCTCCACTTCCGGACCCTGTGGGGCTTCCAGAGCTTCGCCTGCTCCACCTTCGGTTCTTGTGCCAGCTCGTCTCCCTGGTCTTCCTGACTGGCCTCGGCTGCTCTTTGCCATTCAGACTGACTTGCCTTGTCCTACTGTTACCGGCCTCAACCTCTGGACTCCTGGACTGCGATTTGGACTAGGCCCATATAGCATCCCGGTTGCCTGGGTCCTGGTGCTCTGATCCGATACCAGCTGCCCACGCCCCAGATGCTGGCAGCACCCCAGGGGGACTACCCGTGTCACGGGGCTGGAACCAGGAGAGGACACGCTCCCACCGGTGTCACAGGAAGACGCCTTCGGGGACATCCGGCTAGGAGTCTGTCTGGCCTCGCCTTTTCTCCGTCGGGGTTCCGGGGCAGACATCTTCCCTCTTGCTTGCTCCGTGGTCCTCAAACTGGGGGTGCTGGCGATGCACCTTCCGCCTGTAAAGCAGCTGCCCTTTGCCTTAGCCTCAGTCCAGGCAGGTGTGGCCCCCTCTCGAAGGTGCCCCAGAGTGTTGTCCCACAGAGTTAATGGGAATCCCGAGGAGCCACAGCTGCCCCTGCTGCCCGATCCCAACCCCGATGGCAGCTTGAAAGCTGGCCGTTTTTCTCCTTGCGCCTTGCTGCAGCCGGGGCTTCCCACGCTTGCTTCGACCCCTTCGCTTCCTTTTTGGGAGTGCCCATCATTCTCGCTCGCTGACTTGTTTGTGGGGCTTGCCTGGAGCCCCCTCCTCTTCTTCGCCTCCACGCGTCATTCATGGCACGGGCAGCCAAGGCACGAGGTGGTGAATGCGAGGGCAGTTTACAGATGGCGGCTCTGGGCAACAGCTGCACAATTGCCGGGCCATAAACAAAACCTCCGCATGCCGTGTGTCAGGATGCACGGCTTTCTCGGAGCGGTAGACCCCAGAATTTTAGATGTATTTGCAGAGAGCCAAAGAATGTTCGACGCATACTCTCTTTTCCCCACTGCAGAAACTGAGAAACCAAACTGAGCAAGAGATCCGCGTCCATCTGGATATTGAGAGTTTCCTTAAGCAACAGCAAATGGTGGGTGGCAGTTTTCTGGTGTTCCCTTTAGCCTGTTCTGCTGCAAGTGTACCTCATGCCATCCGCTCTGTAGCCGGAGGCCGGGTGTACCTCCTTGCCCGCTGTGCCACGCTTGTGATGTCGTCCCCTCAGCGTCTGACACTTTCGACACCTTGGATGGCTTCACATTCACTAACAAGGGCGTGGAAGGTGACATGCCATTCCTGTGGGTGAACCATAGAAAGCCCAGGCTGGAGCTTCCAAGCACCGAGGCCTAGAAGCGGGCTCCTGCGGCTGGCCTCTCCTGCGTTAACCGGCACCCGTGTTGCTGGGGGCAGGAGGCAGGCCACCCCGCTGCATCACAGGAAACACTGGTTTTATTCCTAGCCCACTTTCTCTGATTACAGCATCTGTTTTAAAGCAGTGCAGAACTAGCGCTGCAGAGAAAGGCTGTTAAGGCCATCTCTGCTGCCATCTAGAATTCTGTGCACAGGATTTTGGGGAGATTGGGGGGTGGGTGGGGGGGCTGACCACACGAGTCAGCACCAGCAGGGCAACCAGGGCTGTGACCCAAGACATTTTTGATACCCTACGTTCTGCATACATTGGACGGCCAGGCAGGCAATTTAAGAATAGTTCCATATTGATGAAATCCAGAGGCCAGGGGGGTTTTGCAGGGGCAGGTCAGGCTGTTTGGCTTACCTGCAGTTTCCCCCAACACTCCACTCTGCCCTGGTTACAGCCCAAACAGAAGCTGACTACCTCACTGAGAACCAGGGCTCAAGCATAACGTCACTCATTTGGTGCTGGTTGTGGGAATCACGACAGACATCAGATACAGAAAGCATCCAGGCGGGTACATGGCAAGAGCCCTGCTGAATCCGACCAAGGGACTGGTGTTGGGCGTACACAGTCGCCACCCAGCTGGCTGTAGGAAACCCACTGCCCAGATGTGAGCGCAATGGGATCCTTCCAGTGCGGGGGCAGGAGGCCCCGAGGTGGGAAGCAGAACTGCAGGTGCTTTGGATGTCGGCTCCCTGCATCCCTGACCAATGGCCGTAAGGGCTCTCAGAGGCTCCTGGGAGCTGAAGCCCAGAACTGGTGGCTCCCCACGTACGGAATAAGGTCCCATGAGGCCTGCTTGGTTCCTGCCTTCCCGGCACCAGGGAAAACTGTCCTCTACTGCCGAGCATTCAGTTAGTTTACTGGGACGTGTTAGCTGCTAAACAACTCTTAAGATTTTCTTCAGTTTACTGATTCTTGTTTGTATCGGTTTTAGATTAGATTTTAAATTTTGTATGGGAAGCTTTCTGCGATGTTTTAATACGGTGCATTTTATGTTGTATTTTTAATGTGTTGTCCTAAACTGCCCAGAGAGCCTCGGCTACGGGTGGTACAGCCGTTGCATAAGCAATACTTGCTCCAGATCGCCATGCCTGCTGTGTACCCTCGGGCTCCCCTTCCAGGCCCCTCTGCACTTCTGACTGCCACGCAGCCCTTCCCACACGAGTATACGGCCTGGCACACAGACCACGAGTGCTCTCCACTCACATCACGGGGCTCCGTCCATTGGGCAAGTCCTTGAATCGCTCATCATCCCATAATGTATCCAAGGCACATCCTGCACATTGAGGGGGGCAGGAGGACCGTGCTCAGTGCCCATGTGATTATATCCTAACCAGAGCATTGAAGAGAAGCTCGAGTACTGGATGGAGAAGTACGAGAAGGACACGGAAGCCAAGCAGCAAGCCCTCAACGCCCTGAAGTCTTCCAGAGCAGCTGACCAGGCGGCCCTCCAGGAACTGGCCAAACAGGTGGGAAGAAAAGCAGGTGCGGCTTCTGGCTGCAGCCACCTGTTCAAAGAGGAACGGGTCAGGGCAGGCTCCTAGTCCTCTGTGGTCCACAGTAAGGCAGGGATGTGTGGACATGGAGGCACGGCCACCGAGTCCATCAGCTGCCAAGAAAGAGGGACGCCGACGAAAAGGGGCAGAGGAAGTGTGAATGATGAGGTGGCGGCACACGTGCGTGCAAGTCCAACAGGCGATTCTTGTGGTAGCTACGGCCATGTTGCCTGCGCCTGTTCTAAGCGCATCCCTTGCCTTCCTGCAGTGCCTCGCATGTGAGCAAGCCATAATTGAGGACCGAAAGGAAAAGGAGCGTGCGCGGAAGAAGGTGGAGCAGGATGCCCTGGAGGCAAAGAGCCTCTTAAAGGTAAGCTGGACCAGCCTGTGAGCAGGGCAGGGGAAGAGAAATCCGTCGCAGCCTTTTCCATCCCTGCCCCACAGCTCACGGGGGCATTGCATCTCTCCGCTTCACCCTGCAGCAGGGGCGGGAAGCCTCCTCTTCTGCTGAGGACTTGCAGGCCAGACCACCCCTTTCATTAGTCCGTCGCCCACGCTCCCCCCCCCCCACTGGCTGCCAGGCAAAGGGCAGGTTGCTCCTGCCAGAGGTCTGGGCTTGTCGAGGGCTTCCGAAACTGCCCCGAGGGCGGGAGGCAGGCCGGGGATGGGATGCCCACCCCTGCCCGTGACTTCCGTCCAAAGGCAGGCCGGGGATGGTCTTTAACCATCGCTCGATGAGCCCGGCGATTAAGGCACACAAAAAGGCCTAAACGGGCTTTAAGAGTAGTGGGCTCGTGTCGGGAACGCCGTGAAGCGCAGCCATTCCCTCCCAGCCTCCTTACAAACTGCAGTTTCCCTGGGGGTGATCACATCCTCCCTCCACCGGGCAGCTCTTCTCCTCTGAAAGTCGCCTTGCACATTCCTGGCGGGATCCACAGACGTGGACGCAACAGGCTGGGTAACGTGTAACCCTAGAGATAATTTGGCCGACAAGTCCCATCATCCCTCGCCATGGGCTGTGCTGGCTAGGGTGGAGTTTCAGGCCATGACGTTGGGAGAGCGAGTTGCCCACTGTGGAGTTCGAGGCCGGCTCTTGGCGTCCGATCAGCTGCGGGTCTGGTGTGGAGGCCGCAACGGAGCAGGGGGAACGGCAGCGCCAAGGAAGCCAGAAATGGTCGCCGCGGTCCTTGCTGTCTGCGGAGCACCTCCTCACCATCGTCTGTCTGGGTACAGCATGACATTAACTGGGCATTCCCAGTATGCAGTACGTCATATACATTAACACCCTTTGGAAAGAAGGAAAGGGAAGATCTGTTACGTGCCGGTCAGGGTGACCCGTCTTCCGCTGCCGATGTGAGAGAGGGAGGCCTCGCGGAGAACCAGAAACCTGGGCCCAACCCCAGCTCCTGTATTCTCCTTGGTGGAACAGCTGATCTTCCGATCTGGGCTACCAAAGGATATCTTGGAAGGATGGACACCCTTCCATGGAACAGACGCTAGTTCTTTCCCACCCGGATGCCTCCTTGGAGTCCGTCCAAGGCAGCCGCTTTCTGCAGCTTGAGCTGGTAGCCGTGCGATGAGTGAGGGCACTGGACGCGATGAGTGATTTCAGGCAGGCAGCAGGTGGCACTCGGGATTCAAGGCAGGCTGGTTCAGGAGGTGGGAGAATCAGGAGGTGGGGAAACTGGACTTGACCCAGAAATCATTCTCAGGAGTCTTGCGATTAACCAGGCTTGCGGAGTGGCTGGCAGTTCGCACAGGCCCCCGACCCCGCATTCCTCCTCCTCGATTTCAGCTACAGGCGTGGTGGAGAGGCATGATGGTCCGCAGGTTCCTTGGTCCTTACAAGAACCTCAAGAAGGCCTTGGAAGAAGAGCCAACAGCCAAAGACAAAGGGAAGAAGGGCAAAGGGAAACCTGGAGCGAAGAAGAAGAAGTGATGGGAAGAAAATCTGGTATCCTGCTTTTGTCAAGGTTTGGGGCAGCAGGGTGGGGTGGGCGACAGGGACAATGTCGTGCATTGCTGTGGCAGCTAAACGTAATAAAACCTTTGACGGTCATTTCTGCAAATTTGAAGCAGTATGATCTCGGAGAGGATGTGGCTGCTTTAGATCCCCGTCAACAAAGGAACATTGAAGTTGGCAGCTGTGAAAGCGAGCCGGCTGGATAAACACAGGTGGACATGCAGACGGTCGGAACAAATGATCTGGGAATATGATGCAATCATTTACCTGGTTTTTTTCCGAAGTTCAAGGAAGCTAGAAAGACGAGTGTGCTGGATTTCTGGAGCAGAGTGGTAATCTTCACAGACCAGGATTAGACATTTTATAGAGAAAGCTGAATGTCACCCCAAATTTAATTTTTCTCATTAAGTATGCATTGAGCTGGAGATGCCACCATATGAAATTTATCTGCTGAAAATTAATTTTGGATTCCACAAGACTCCAGTCGTATGGGGAATCGTACTGGTGATCAGTTGTCACGTGCGCATTTGTAGAGACATGCAGACACAGAGGCGCATACACAGAGGCCTTGCTTTGCACAGTCATACACAGTGATTACACTCAGGAAAGGACTCCTACTTTATTGTACAGTAAGTTTCTAGTCCTCAGTGTCTGATGCCATCTTTAGAATTAACTGAACAAGGCTGCTCCCCAGGAGAAACAATCAAGGGCAATTGAGAGACTGGACAAACCTGCTCCAGAATAAATGCTCCAGTTCACAGAGGCAGGTTTTAAAGCTTTAGCTTTTATTTCAAATCACCCAGGTTTGGAGTTTATAATATCATGTGCACTAGAAACTGACTGGTAGCATACGGGCAATTTAAAATAAAGTACATGATATTATGTTTATACTTGATAGTTTTTGAAAACTACGGAATGTATTTACAGACATACAAATGCAGGAAAGAACTTTTAAAATTCCTTTAGCTATACTACTAATTACACGTTTACAGTCTGCAGAAACAACAAGAGTGAAGTCTTCATTCTCTGGGCATTCTGCCAAGTGCCAGCCCAAGGGAAAAGGGATATCTGAGCTGGTGTGCCCGGACAACAAGGGTTTTCAAAACCTCTGCAAAACATTTTTTTTTAAACCACCCACAGTAACTGAGGAAATCCTACTGCTTCTAAAGCAAAACTTTTAAAAGAACCATTCCAAGGCGTAATAGCACCAGCCTTTCCTGAATGGCAGCGGAAAGGTTCTTTAAATGTTTTGCAGCAGGTACTTGGTCAGAAGCAGGTCCCCGACACCTTATTTGAGGGGGAGGTCAACATCACTGTCCTCGGGTGCCATTAATGAGCTTCAGCAGACAACAAAAAGAGAGGCGAGTACTCTCCATCCATTCAGCGGAGGAGGAGGAGGAGGAGCTACTAACTTCCTGGTAACTGTTTAAATACATCTTGGGACATGAGGAAGTGACGTGTCTGATCCGGCAAGGACGTGGACCGGCTCAGAGCCCCCGAAGCCAGAGCAGTGTGTCTGCTTCCACAGGGTTTGTTCCACACTGTCTTAGCTGCATGTGGAGGGATCCCTGGAATCGGGTAGCCGGACGATGACAGGTCTGTGGCTGGCACTCCCCAGAGAAGCTGGGGGGATCTTGCTTGCCTAGGGTGGGGTCGCTGCAGGAATCAGCAGGTTAGGGGTCATTCTAGGCAACCTGCTTTCTCTTGAATCCTGCCACACAAGATCAAAGGGCCACGCACACCACAGAGCAGATGGTGGGCCATTTTTATTGTTCCCCAAAAATCAGGCTGATAAACACACAGGAAGTTTTCAGGCTTATCAAGATATCCTCTGGGCACTGGTGGAAGAAATGGGGACTGAACTATACAGACAGACAGACAAGTCTTTATTGGAGGAGCCATAAGTGCATGGTTTGATTGAAGATGGAACTGAAAGTGTCTGGAATTCATTCTGGAATGAAAAACTACCAGGTTTAACATTGCTTGATTCTCAAAATATTCACAGTTGCTTGATACTGCTTGGGAAGGGATAATAAAATGGAAGGATTACTATAGGTCTTAACAGCAAGGGCTCTGTCCAGAATGTGGGCCCATCCTACTGATATTCTCCAGAAGGACAATCATCTATTGTTGCTTCAACACACAAAATAAAACTGTATACATTTTTCTTTAAAAACTTTTCACTAAATACAGAAAAAATTGCACATAAATATAACATAACACAAAAATTCCCAAGCCATTTAAAACTTGCAACAGAAAGCTCAAGTGGTCTTTCCTTCTTTTTGGTACAATACTTTAAAATTAAACCGCAGGTTGAGTATTGCTTTTGGGATGTTAACATCCGTTTAAGGTGGAGCTTCTGTTATAAAACCGTAGAAGTGAAGAATCAAACTGACACAGCTGCATAAAACCGAGCACTTAAAAAGATGCACACCTGTCTCGTGCCTGGGCACTGGCTTGTGTGAGAGACATTACCCCCAGAGTGTGCTTTTTCTTTCCTGTCAGTTAAATCCAGGGCACTGCTGTGAGTCCACGTTCCTTCTAAATCCCTCTTACAGAGCATGCTGCCTTCTGGGCCCAGCAGAGGGGCTGCTGTGAGCTCCCACGTGTGTAGGAATGGAGCGGTGCACGTGTTCTTCTCCTCTTGGCAAGCACAGGGTCCAGCTTCTGCTGCCTGAAGCTTCTGGCACGGCTGCTCTGCACCACGGGGTTGCATGCCGCACCTTTCTTCCAGCCCAACAAAACGTGTAGGCTAAGTGGTCCAGGCAAAGGGCTGTCTCCAGATAGGAGCAGATCGTTTTAATGGTATCAAATGTGCAATATTTGGGTTGCTGAAGCTCCAAAACCGTTTCATGTACATTAAAAAGTGCAGGAGAGTGGGGTCGGAACGCTAACCCTTCATGAAATGCCCACCAATCTTGTTACTCTAAGTTTGCTTCCCTTCATTTTGAAAAGAACTTGCGAGTGTAAATATCACAGCATCTCAGATATGTATTTGTGTGGGTTGCTGAGGTCCAGCAGGGTGCAAATTGGGCGGGGAAGTACGGGACTAAATATCTACAGCATGGGAATTCAGAAGAAAGACACCCAAAAAGCTGTGGAAGGGTTGCATTTCGTTGTCTGAATCAAAGGTCTGTAAGGGCTTCCAACTCCTGCACCAAAGGGAAAAGGCGAGGGATTCCAGTGCTTCTACCGCACCTGATGGCATCCTCCAAGAAACTCTTCTTTGAAAAACCACACACCAAAACACCAGACAAGCACTCACAATGAGGCAGGCAATCCTGCGGCATGTCTGCGGAGGGCTTCCAGGCCACCGGGCGGCCTCGCTGAAAGAGAACAGTTGTGTCCACCCCATGCTACTGTTTTGCTTAAAATATTCTTCATGTTTTAGAACAGCACTGAGGGCAAACGTGTCACAAATATAAGGATTAAGCGGCCTACTTTCATACAGGTACCTAACAAGGCAAATTAAAAAGAGAATCGAAATTAAAATTAAGCAAATTGCAGGATAGCAGGAAGGGAAATTGAACCAGATGCCCTGGAAACATCTCTCCTCCAAAGCCCACTGAAACTAAGAAAAATGGCAAGAAGAAACTATCATTTGTGCTTTCTTTCAATAGGGCTAATGCCCCCCAAGAAGAAAAAGCACAGATGAGTCTGGGCTTCTGTTTCTAGATTCCTCAAACTGTTGCCCGCAATTTCCAGCTAACCTATTCTCTTGCCTTCTTCCTCTCACCATCTATCATGAAATCACAGCATGTCCTGGTGTTTTACAAACACCTGACAGCCCGAGAATGCATCTAATTCTCCCCATTTCTTTTGCAAATGGCGTTTAACTCCTCAAGAATTGCTCTTAAGAGCAGTGCTTTACCTGGGAACTTGAAGAAGGCACCACGTTTGCGCGCTATGGCCAGCCAAAAGTGTCTTTGCTCCAAAGGAGCTGCCACATCCTCTACGGGGTGGGCTTGGGGTGCGCCCTGCTTCCCTGAGCGATAACCAGGCTGCCTGCACAGGCCAGCACGCTGACTGCTGAGCCTGCCTCGTCCCTTCTTGGTCACGGGGGCAACCGTCTTCAGTGCACCAACTCCATCCCCACAACTGGCTCCGCTCGGAGGTGTCCCGTTGATGGGAGTGGGGCTGGACTCATTTCCCTCCTGGGATGCATTCGGATGACATGCATTACAAACCTACTCAGCAGCCTCCTGAGAAAAACCGTAGCAACTGCTTAAGTCTGCATTCGCCATAGCAGCAGGAACCCAGGACAGGGTTAGGATGACTTCAGGAACCGAGGCCAGATTCAACATGACCTAAAAGAGGACCCTAACTCATTCATGTGCTTGTGAACGGGACTCCTTTTAAAAAGCACGAACATTGTTCTCAGCCTTATCTGCATATTTTGAAAAGAGATTTACTTAGAATTATTTTAGGCCACATTAAGGATGGAATTGTACCCTTAAAGGCACGTTTTTAAAACATGCAAAGGGAACAGTATGTAGGGAGGGGGATGGATCGGGTGGGCAGAGTGTAAAAAATGGAAAAGCTGGATTTAACCATCTGCATGGGGGGAAATCCTACTTAAACACTTTTCTTTCAAATCCACTGAAGAGCAACCTTTTTCTCTGCAATGCGAGCACGGCATGACTGGCTCCCATAATCCACTCCCTTCTCCGGCTAGCCAGATTTTGAAACAGATGCCTGTTTGCTTCTAAAGGAAAAAAGGAGGTGTAGATTGCTTCAACAATGAAAGTTAAATTCGTACCAGGAATCTCTCTCTTTGGAAATCCAAGTAATTAATTTATAGACAAACCAGGTCATGCTGAATTTCTCATGCTGGCCTGGGACAAAGAATGCCAGAGGGAGAGCCTCTGTTAAAAAGTATTCCTGCACAAAAATCTAGTGAGGGTGCTGTTGAAAAAAGAAAATAATCTAATCATTAGTGGTGTTCCAGAAGTGCTGGCTGAGCGGGGTTTACACAAGGTCCAATTCATAGGATGCCTCTTATGTGCAGCCTTGCTCAGTCAAACGGGAGCATTCCATAAAAGGCTTTTCTTTCCCATTTGAATTAGCCATACCGGGAATCTCACAGGTTTCTAAAATGTATATTTTGGGGGTCGGAAGGCCATCCTTCCTTCCCTATCCACCCTGCCAATTTTTTCTGTGTCATACTTAGAAAGGAAGCCGACATCTAGTAAAATGCTCCCACAGTTCCACCCTCCTGTCCCAGCAAAATTCAATTTACAAAGAACAATTTAAAAAAAAGTTCAGTGGAAACTTTTGTGACCTCCAAAAAAAGTGGAGAAATGAAGCAAAATTATTCCCTGCCAGGAATCCCGGATACAGATCTCCTTCTTCGGACACAGCACTGCCTGTGTCGGGACCGCTGCACTGCTGTCAAGTCCGGGCATCCTTCAGCTTGGCCAAGAAAAAACAGCAAGTTGCCAGGGGCCACGTCACGCAGCAGCCAAATGCTGCTGCTGCTGCTGGTGATGCTGTTTTGGGGGTGCCCATTCCAGAAGCGACTGGACAGTCTCTGCCACCCGCGTCAACCCTCTCTCTTCTAAAATATGCAGAGGCAAACATAATCGCTCCTACATGGGAAAACACAAAAAAGACATAAAGGAAAAAAAAGGGATGAAAACGAAAAGCAACAGAAAAAAGGAAAACCCAAATTATATGAGCACAGTTGTGAATGGGCCAGGAGGGGAGGAAGGCCTGGCTCGGCGACGGAGGGCGGGCGGCTCCGCACGCGGGGGGCCGCAGGTTCGGGCCGTGGCTTCTCCACGCTCCCCGCAGAGCTGCTTGCTCACCGCCTGCTTGAGCAGACGGCCGTGGCTTGGAAGCAGCTGCACACCAACTCCACATAAATCGCCTTGTTAAGTTCACACCTCCCTCGGCCGGCTGGCACTCAGTGTGCCAGGACTGTGGGATTGTGGAATCGTGCCGGGATCCTAGATCCCACTTTGCAAGGCCTTTGGGACTGCAGAGAGATGCCGGAAGAGGGCAGGGGCCTTGACTGCTAACACAGCCTCCCCCGACCTGGCGCCCCCAGATGTGGTGGAATGCAACTTCCATCAGCCCCTGCCAATATGGCCGATGGTCCCAACAGCAGAAGCATGCGATGCAACTTGCATTTGGGTGCATCTGCAAGCCACCGGCCTGGGGAAGGCTGTGCTGAAGAACTGGAGACGTAATTGTTAGGACCCCCCCCCTCAAATGCACGTGGAAGGAAGGATGGGACCCTCCCAGTGGAAATGCAGGATGCAGCATTACCCTTCGTGCCCACCGAGGCTACCTGCACAGCGGGCTCGGGGCACGCCGAGCAGCCAGGGCCCTCTTCAGAACGCCCCCCAGCCCCCGGCTGCCCGTCTCTGGGTCGAGCCCGCAGTGGCACGTGCAGCACAGAGAATGACACCGAGCCACCAGACTGCAACAGGAACTTTATTTAATCAACACATTTAAAAACAAACAAACAAACAAACAAACAAACTCTGGAGCGGTCACAGATCCAGCAGGAGAATGTTTAAGGGCATGTGAGGTGGAGCAGGGTGGGGTAATCTTTATTCTTACACTCAAATCAAACCAATCACTATTCATGGGTAAAATACGCTACAGAGAGGACTAGCTCGGAAAGCGTTTCCAACAGCGCTGCGCAGGAGCGAGGTGGCAGGCGCCGTGAGCAGCGCCCGCTCCGCCTGCAGGCCGGACGCGCACGCAGTTCTAGCACCTGCGGCCACGCCAGGCCCTGTCTCGCCAGCGCCCTGACCCTGCCCTGGCGCTCTGAGCGGCAGCAGGAGCGAAGGAGGATCTCCGTTCCCGGCTCCAAGCACACCTCTCCCTCCCCAGCCTCTGGCAAGCAACACACAGCTAAGAAAATTCCAATATACGGGCAATCCCAAGACATTATTCTCCTAGGCACTCGTTTCTTATAAAATATCCCTAAAAGGACCTCCACTTAGAAGCTGCTTTCTAAAAATATACTGAGCACAGTGTTTCAGCACCCCTGTATTCCCTAGAGGCGGCGACCCGCTTCCTCGCTTGATGCAGGGATGGTCCCTGCCGCCTGCGAAGGCGTGTGACTCCTGCTCTCCTGTGCCCGACCCCAAAACGGCCGATTCTGGAGCGCCGGAGGCAAGCCGCAGGCTGCAGGACAGGCCAGGACCCCCCCACAACAGCCCCCCATACACAGAGTCTGGAAAACGGGGGCTAGTCTGCGGCACCAAGAAGGGCACCAGCACCCCCAGACCAGCTTCCACTGAGGCGAAAGGGTCTGCAGGCGCATCCTGCTCCACACCCTCAGGTTCCAACTCACGCGTGGGCTCTCGGGCCTCCCAGGAGGGCCAGAAGCGGAGCCGAAAGGCAAGCTGCTGACCGCTGCTCAGAGACGGACACGTGTCCTCTGTCCTGCTGCAGACAGCACGCAGAGGTGAGGCAGAGGCGGCTGGCTCCTTTGGCAGCAGGCGGAAAGCGGACCTCGTGCCCTTCAGAGCTGCAGACCACACTCGGGGGGGGGGGGGAGCCACCTGATCTGGGCTGTTATAAAGCCTGAAGACCAAGCAACAGTATTCAGACCGGGCGAGAAGCAAGTCCTTTATTTCAATAGGGACCCAGAATGCTGCCCTGTGCAGAGCCAGACCCTCAGTCTGGCTCACCTGGTGGTGTCCACACTGGCCGGCAGCAGTGGCTCTCCAGGGGAGCGGCTGGGAGCTCTCCAGCCCTACCTGGAGAAGCCGGGGACTGAGTCTGAGGGCTTCTGTACGCCCCACAAATTCCCTCTCATGGTCTACAGTCATCCATCCCCCATCGCATGTCCCCTCCCCTCTCCGGAGGACCACTGATCGGCCGCCGACCTGTGGGGTAGGGCCAACGCTCAGCAGTGGCCTCAATCCCTGGTTTCCAGAGTGCAGCTCTGAAGGCCCTTCCAGCCCGGCCCAGCCCGGCCCAGCAAGCCAAGCCCAGCGGTCTCAGCAGAAGGCACCTTCCTAAGCACATGCAGGCTTGCCTGCCTCTCTGCCTCCAGAATTCAGAGTCCAAGCCAAGCGTGATAGGGTCAGCTGGAGCCAGGATCCCACCCTGCCCGGGACTGCTTTCAGGGGCAAATTCACCATGTGTTCACTAAAGCATACCAACAACCCACACTCTTCCTGGGGACTGGTCACCTGTGAGACCCTGAGCACTAACCGCTCACAACAAACTCCAACCAGGCTGGCTGGTTTACACGTAACTTTTCTAAACTGACGGTCATATTGTCCAATTCAGTTCTGAGTGCAGACGGGGCGAAGGGGTGTCCCGGGCTGCCCCTCAACCCCGTCACCTGCCGCTCAGCAGGCAAGAGCTGAAGGGAGTGACCGTTCCGTTCAGCCCACAGCTGAGTCCATCATGCAGAAGTGGCGATTCTTCCCTACACAAAGTGACACTGCCTTCTCGAGAGGAAAGCTGCAGCCTGAAGCTCTGGCAGCACATGCCCCCTTGCAGCGAGGCGGGTGCCAGCCGGTCCCCTGCAAGCAGCTGGAGCAACAGGAGAGAGTTCGCAGGGTCCCTGCGCACACCCTGTGGTAGCAACAGATGGCAGCTGACCCTGGACGCCACACGGCCCGACACACCCAGGATTTTCCAGGCTTCCTTAAAAGCAGGGCCACATAGGTGGCGAGTCGGCAAGAGCGCAGGAAAAGCGCAGAATGAAATACTGTGCGTAGTCCTTACAGCTGGGAAGGCATTTTGAAAGCCCCAAGGGCCTGAGGAAGCACCCCTGTGGGTTGGCACAATTCACTGCCCCTCCCCATGGCTGGCAGAAGCCAAATGAACTGGAGAACTGCCCAGTCCACGTCCCTCCAGCACAGGCTGACGCAGTCCGCCTCCCTGGGCACAGAATTCCAATACCGCTCTGCAGTATGTGGCTTGATCGGGGTCTCGGCACGCCTGGCCTGGCTATGATGGCACCTGACAAGCGCGCACGTGCATGCGTGCATGCACCACACACTCACAAGTGCAAAATGCTTGAGATTTCTGTCCTGCAGAGCAGACGCAGAAATGGGGGAAGGAAGTCAGTCACTCAGCCCAAGCCCAGCATGAGTCCAGCAAAGAACAACCATAAACATGGACTAGGAACTGGCAACACCATAAAAACCATGCGCCAGAAAGAGCATAAAAACAGCAGACCTAACCCAGCCTGGCATGAGGTAAGGCAAAAGCCGGCTGCTCCATCCCCTCTGCTTGCAAGGGGAGGCCTCGCATTTGGAGGGAAGAGGCCCAGCAGATGCACAGAAATCTGCCGGCAACACTGTGGCGCAGGCAACGTCCTGCACAAACCAGTTGCCTCTGGAAGCAAGAACGCGTGCGAGAAAGTCCATGTAAGTTACGCCTGCGTTTCCCACAAGCCTAAGCACATGCATCCCATGTGCACATCCGCACATCACACACAGGAGCACCACACCTGAGTGCCGCTCTGCCGTTCATCCCAGGTACAAGATTTGGCTCACAGAGTGCCTAAAATGGGCACCTTCTTAACAATGTACAAATACAGGCAACCTGTCGCTCCTGCTTTGTTGCGTTCTGGCTCCCTGCAAAGGAGGGCAGTAGCGCATGAAGGACACGCTGGAGACCACCTGCTCCAGGTGAAGACCACCAGGCTGAGGCGATGCTGCCCCCTTATCTGTCCTTCCCAAGGCAAAAGGGCAAGCACTTGTGTGCTGAGATTCGCTTCAAGAATCATGGTATCCCTGAGAAAGGCAAGAGGAGAGTGCATGGCTGGAGTTTCCACCTGAGCGATGCAAAATATGCAGTCAGGTATGCTATTCTACAAGGCTGGTGGTGAGGTGGACGGAGCCCTGGTGTTCCCCCCGAAGGACACTGCTGCTGAATGGCCGGCCGGCCGAAGCTGTGTGCACCTTAGCACAGCTGAAAGCACCTCGGATTCACTTAAGCAGGGCTGGCATCCTGCATAAGTGGTGGTGTGGAAACAGGGATTTTGGTATCAGAAGAAAGTAATACCCTGAGAAACTGCCTCCAATTTCAAGAAAAATCAACGTGTTTCTAGCCCTTAGGGCGGCAGGAAACAGCACAGAAACACACGGTACACTTTCCAGTGAACTCTCAGAAGCCAGAAAGAGAGGTAAGCCAGATTCCCGGTGCCCGGGGCTTCTGTGTGCTCACACTGCCCCCACCCCTGGTATTATTTTTACCTGCCCCTTCTCGGAGGGTGAATTCGGACTGCAGCGCCATCCTCATTCTCACCCAACAAAGCAAGGACATCGCACATCACCCATAATGGTAACTTGGAACACACGTTACATATTGTTTGAGTACTTTGCTAAATATAAAGTGACTACTATATAGGAAATATGAACAGTATTTTAGATAAGGCGCAGCTCCTTAGTGAGCACCGTGGCGATTTCCTGGGAAGCCCAGAGACTGAAGGACAAGCTGAGGGTTTTCGCAACAGTGCATGTGCAGTCCTGGTAAAGAAGCAAGAAAGCGCCCCCCGCCCCCCCGCCCCATTTTAAGACACACACGGAGTGCTTCAAAGCCTGTTCTAGACACTTTGCCTGAACTTCTTCGGGACTTGACGGATCTACTGAGAAACAACAAGACATCAACGCAGCATTGGCAAATCTGTGCAAAGATGGGTGGGAGCCCCGTGCAGGGGTGGGAACTGTGGGGGCAGGGGACTTGCTCGTGCTGTGCTGGTTCTTCAACCAGCGGCTGAAAGCCACACTATGAGCGGGTGGGAAAGCTAACCCTGTAGCCAACTTACTGGTGCGCTCACATGCTCACACCAGTCATGTGCGCAGAGCAATGACGAAAGCGGCCACTTCTGCGTGGCTAGAAAAATGTGGTGGTGCTGCTTACAGAAGAGACACCATACTCCGTAAGACCTCCCCCTCGTCTGTGTGGCCAGGGATTCGTGTGGGCAAGTCCATTCAAACCACCTTCGCACCGCAGTCTTCCGTTCTATTGCCCAAACGGACTGCCCTGCAAATTTTCTGGGGTCCCAGGGAAAAGGAGGACTCTGGTGCGTTAGATACAACAGTTTGCAACAGGCAAGACCCTGGTGTACATGATATATTGGTCTGAAGTGTCCGAAGAATTCTGAGCAATCTCCACAATTTGTTTGAAATAAGATGGCAATACCCCTAACCTTGGAGAGAAACTTGAAAAAGCGTTTGCTTGTTCAATCCTTAAGAAACCAAAGGAGGACCACATGGAAAACCTGAAAGCAAGGAAGACGAAGCCCCTTCCTCTGGCATAACTTCCCAGTTTCCCCCCATCTCATTTCCAATGCTCCGTCAATTCCAGTCACTACATGCACCCAGCCCAAGGACGTAGAGAGAATAAATTTCATGTTCTATAAAAATATCCAGAGTTGTCAATTAAAATAGATGTGTACAGATTCATTTTTTTCCTACACGAATTATTCAAATCACATAATATATGGGAAAGTGTTTAACCATACAGCATTCTAGACTCTTGGATTCCTTAGCTAACAGCACACTCTGACTAGCTCACAGAGTCTTTTCCACGTTACATGGAGGAAATGGCTGGTGGATCAGAGGGCACATGCACACACACAGTTCACAGACTGTTTACCAACTGCTTGGAAGGGCTGGAGCAAGTCCATGGCGCCCTGGAGCTCTAGTTAGAGGAAAAAGACCCAGCGATAGAACATACAGAGCATGAGCATCAGCGCACAGTAAAATGCTGCAAAGCCACAAAGTTGGGTGGAAAGAGAGACAAGACTGGGTTCTTCCGAATCTGTCCCCAGAGAAAGAAGAGACTCTACTGTCCTTTTAATGCTGAGGTTTAGCTGGAGAATGTCAGAAGGGGAACAGAGATTGTCCTGTCCAAAGTGTGAGCAGGAAGGGAAAACAGACAGAAAAAAAAATTAGCACCAGTCTTATCAGCCATGCAAGTACCCGTGAAGTAGTCAACACAACCCAACACCATCCGTTTTCCACCCATGAGTGTGATGTGCAGAGACCACAAAGAAGAACTTTAAACTTCCTTACATACATATGCGCAAATATATAAAAGTCCTAAAAACAAACGGCCACTAGTAGGCCCTTATTTTTCGGAAAGTGATTGTTAATCGAAGAGGAAACCTCCACTGCAGAGCCTCCTCTAGAATGAGCGGACCTGAGAATTAACCCGCTTTTTGATCAGAAAGACGAAGGCGGCCTCTGAGGGTAGTATCCTGCACGGGCACCCAGTGTGCCATCACTCTTTTGCAAGCACTTTTTCGTTTTAAGATTTAACGTTTTTGGACTTTTCACTTTTCGCCAGCAGAGGTGGGCGTGAAGCTGCAAAGCATGCCAACACTCAGAGACTCTTCCGTCAGCTATGGCGCCTGCCACATCACTTCCCCAAATGTTGCTGCAACTGGAGGGACCTGTGGCCGTGAGGCAAGGTATGCTTCCGAGAAGAACGGGTTTCTAAAAGATGCTTCGCCTGCCTTCTCAGAAGCGCCCATATTTCTACACGGGCCCATGCTTAGATGCTTCCCTGCATTGCTAACAAACTTAAATTCAACAGAAGAGGGCCCATGACTGCCTTTGGGAGACAGCACATGTGTGTGTTTGTGGTGGGGGGGGGTTGTGGTGGGGGGGCTCAGGGCAGGCTCTCTCATTTCCTTAAATAAGAAGCAATTAAGAGAAAGGGGAGCTCTCGACTGCACCAGCTCTGCACACTTTTCTGAGTCTCCACGAGCCCTGGTTTACTTCACTTAATTCTAACATTGATTCAATCAAAGTTCTGCCCGCTCCATGACAGAGGTGGGCAACATGTGCCCAGAACACCTTCCTTGGTGCCCACCAAGACAACCCACTCCTCACAATTTTTTGTCCAAAAAAAAAAAAGAAAAAAGGTGGTGCCCAGGCATGTTCTCAGATGCCCCAGTGTGTGCAGAACCGGCACATCCCGTGTCTGCCCCCTCGCCAGTGCCCAGTGGCCCAGAGCACAAGGAAAACTGTAGGCAGAGCAGGAGGAGGAGGACCCGGGACAAGATGGATCGATTCCATCAAGGAAGGCGGAGCGCTGAGCTTGTGCGGGCTGAGCAGGGCTGCTGAGCACGGGCCGTTTCGGAGGGCGCCGGCACAGAACGATGTGGCGTGCGTTTCCTCTGCTCTCCTGTGGCAGCCACACCCAGGACCAACCATGAGCCTAACGACAGGCCTGCCTCGAACCTATCTGGGACGTGTCAGCCTGTGCGGATCGCTAACCCTGCCCTGTCTGTACCAGAACTGAAGAGCAGCATGCTTGGAGACAAAACACCAAGCGAAGACAACTGAACGGGGAACCGTGCTTGCACCTGGCGACTGTCTCTCCCCGCCCCCACCACTCTTTTTATGTTCTGGGACTGCAGAGGGTCTGCTGCCTGTCAGAGCACGGAGGAGAGCGAGCTCTGTCGCTGGGTCTCCAAGGGACGGGACAGTCACTGCGAAAATGAGAATGCAGGAGAGCGAGAGCACAGGAATCTGAAGCACAATGAGCCTGGAACATGGCAGCTGGTGAGTCACCGACTCCACGCTCCGATGTGACACAGCCAGGACTGACAAAGTACAACATGAGCGTTGCCTTCAAGCCGGCTCTTCGTCTGCAGGAGCACTCGGGAGCCTGGCACTCTTCACAAGGAAGAGGAGGAGAATGCAGGAGGGAAGGGCCTACAGAGGAGGAAGACAGCACTGGCAGGTGCTGCTGGGGATCAGTGGGGCTGAGGCTCACTGCCTCCATGGGGCTTCCCCGATCCTGGGCAGGCTGGCGTTGGGGGAACATCACTGCAACACACGTGGGAGAATTTTGTGGGAAGACTGACCACGGGTTTGTGCAGCAAGTTTGAAGTCTTGTGGCCCATGGCAGATCCGAGGTTTTTTTATACACTGCTTAGAGAGTGCAGAATTGTGGCATCTCGTACACCAGCAATGTGATGCAAAGCACAGACAATAGTGTGCTCCTTATGTCCAGTGCGGTTAAATACCATTCTTCATGGTAATGATTCAGAACTTTCTGGCCAAAGCAGATATATTTATAGTAGCAGTTACGACTTAGCTAATGATTTGGGATGCAAAGATTAACACGTTTAAGGAAAGGCAAACACTTCCAGTGTGAAAGACTAAAACCAGGCCACCGAGAAATACCCAGCTAAAACTGCAGTATATGCAGATTCGGTTTGGCAACAACTGAGCTGCTCTGGAGGATGGTGAGTGGGATTCAGGAGCAAAAGGAGCCGAGAGCAGGGCGAGGATGTACAGAAATGCCTCAGGGCTGCCTTGAAAAAGCGCTTGCCTAAAGTCAGTTTGCGCATCAGAAATTTGGGAAATGAAGTGTCAAGTCCAGAAATTCTTAGAACAGCATCCAAACTAGGATGCCAGCTGCCAAGTGCAAATTTATGCCTGGATTCCTACCATCAGAGACCAGGTCAAATGTCGTAGTGTTTTGATGAGAACTAATCTCTCTGAAATCATGAAATTTCTCAGCAACAGGAGGTCAGTGACAAGATCTTCAGAACTGGAGGAAGACACATCAGAAATATAACTAGATAACTGCCTTCAATTTCCTCTCAGATTGCCCAAGATAACATTCTAGAACAATCCTGGGCCTTTGTTAAAGTTGTTATTATTGAGCATAGCCCCTAAAGTGTATCTCCAAACAAAAGCAGACAGTGCAGGTAAATTCTACCCGTGCGACATTGGGCAAGGTATTTGAACCACTCCCAGGGTCACTGGCATACCTGTACACAGCTACCCCCTCTGCTCTGGTGCCACGAAGAGCTGGACTCTTAGGGGATGGCACACCTTTTGGTCCTGCACTCAGTTCAGAACAAAGACAGACCATTTCCTCCTCTTACCTGAGGTACACCAATCTTCCGACAAGCTTCCAGGAAATTTTCCACGTTCCGTCTGCACTTGGCCATCGTTAATTTGGGCTGCAGGAAGTAAGGAAGAACATGGCATTCTTTATTAGCAGGGATTTATTCAGAATACTCAAAGATATTTAACTGTTAGGAGTCAAGGGTGGTGGGCCGGGAGATTTCTTAGAGGAGGAAAAATAGACTGATGAATGATGGGCGCTTTCTTTTCCAGGGCAACCTGAGGCCTCTTGTGAGTTGTCCCTTCGCCCTTTCCCAACGCTGTCCAAATCCCTTTCTCATTCCCCCTGGTAGTTACTACTTCCAAGACAAGGTAATGTGACCAGGCAGCTTGGTATCAATTCTGAATTTACAGGTAATATTTGCCTCACAAAAGAAGCTTCGACAAGCTTTAGGATTCTGGGAGATGGGGCTTCTCTGCAGTGGCCTGTTCTTTCTAGAATACACCCCCTGGGAAGTCCACAGGGCAAACTCCCTCCTGGTTCTTCTCGTCTAATCAGCATTTGAAAGGTACTGCACTATTGGATTTTTCCTCTGCTTTCATCTATTTATACTCTTCCTTGTTTTTAAAAATATTTCAGCTGTTCTTATTATATTTTTAGCATTACTTTACTGCTTTATGAACCCCTCTGGGATGTTTTCAGGAGGAGAGGGGATAGAGGAACATTTGACACCCCCCCTCCCAAGAAAGGTACAAGAAATAAGCACAGATTTTATCAAGCAGCGCAACCCTGCGTGCTGGGTACTCACAACAGCTGGTGAGGGGACATGAATACTAGGAACAGAACGGGGCCGCACATAGTTTGCGAGATGACAGAGCACCACACCGTCTGTTAGCGCTGCTCCGAGGTCACTGGGCAGAGACACCTTCAGTCGCGATTCAATGTTCTGGAAGGGGGCAAAGGAGAGACACGGAGCTGCAGGTAAGCACTGCCAAGAGGTAAACTGGAAATAGCAGCAAAGGCTGCAAGTCAGAGGCTGCAAGAGGAAGCCCAGCAAGTGCGTCCTGCAGCGATTGTTAGCCTACGGTTGCGTTACGGCGACATCCTGTGTTATTGGTTGTGTTTGTGAGCATGCTCCAGGACAGTTTCCTCATGCTTCAAACAGTTACTGCAGAAAGGATCCATGCAAGTGTGATGTGCCATGAATCGCATATAGGTGTACGCAGCAACCACAAGGGTAAACACGGCGATGCATCCTTCCCACATGACCTTTTTTCAGGAGACCAACCTGCAAGAAAATGTTCGTGCACAAAACCCTAACACAGGAGGCAACCCCCAGAGCAGCGATGTGATGCCGAACCTCAGCCAAATAAATACTGAAAAAGTGACATGGAAAACATTTTGATCCACAATTCAACCACATTTGAAGCCTGATCCGGAAGAGTGCGATCTGAAGGCTCAGCGCTTAGAGTCCCCAGACACAGTTCCACCATTCCTGCACCAGGGCCATCCACAGTTTTTCTCAAGCACGTTCTTCTATTCTTTCTATTTTTCAAGTACTTTCTTCTTCTATTTAAACAAAGAGGATTGTCAATCAACCAGAATGCAAGCCAAGCTTGCCATCCAGCTGCACCTTCTTTGTGGCACAGAGGGTTGCCAAGTTCTGGCTGCTCTTTTACGCTGCACACGGGACACACAAACACGCACACACCATCCAGTGCGTAGCCAGCCCTTGTGCTTACAAGGAATGCACGGGGCCTTCGTGCATTGTTTGTAAGCCTCCCACAGGTGCCTGGCTGGTCACAACTGGGAAGACACCACCGAAAGAGAGACGAGCAACATTCAGCCTTATCCAGCAAAGAAGCAGGAATCGTATTCTTCAACACTCTTGAGAAACTTCTGCTACGTACTTTCCTCAGTTGCTCTATCAGCTCAGTTTCTTCATCCTGCAGCTTGGAACTATGGTTTTCACTATGGTCTTCAGTGCTATTAGCAGAAGTTGAGGCAGAAACAGGCAGTGATGGAATGGCTAGAAAAGGGAAGAAGACAATGAAGGGCACGAAGGGGTGTGATGACCTCTTTAATAATGGGGTTCAAACCCCATTTCAAACGAACACGAATAAGTTGGGCTGCAGGAATTTCAAGCTGAGCGGTGCGATGGACATCCCCTAAATAAGTAAACAAACATGGTGCATCTTCAGCTATTCTCCACAGGGGCAGAACACCTGAGCAGCTATGCCACCGCCTCCTGGAGTGGTACCCTCATGGCAGTTAGGTATGGGGGCTAAGATAAGGTTGTAAACCCGAGTGCTACCATTTCAGAAAAACGGTTCTCGCAGAGCTCTTCCCTGGAGGCGTGAGGTTTCTTTACAGACTATCCCACTGGGCAAGCGCTGCCTGCCACCCACAGCAGCACAGCCCAGGCCCGGGGCAACCCCTTTGTCTGCCGATTATGTGAACCAGGCCAAACGGCACGCCAACACGACAGCGGTCCAAGCCAACACCGGCCAGCTGCTGGGTGCGTGTCTGCGCAAGCCTACCTTTGCTTATCTCATCCCTTGAAGCGTTTCGGAAAAGGAAACTGTCAGGACGCTGGGGAGGATTTCTGTAGGAAGGCACAGTGGTGGCGCCAGGTCCGGGGTAAGGAGCAGAAAGGTGAACTGAATGGAGATGGGCAAGATGTGGGGCGGGGGGGGGGGGGCGGAAGAGGAAAGGCATTATTTAAAATACAGTGTCATCTCAGAACAACAATCCCAAGAACAACGGATGTGAGTGGGACGTGGCAGCTCGTAGCTGAGCATTGGAAAAGTGTGAGGCCCAAGGCCAGCTTGCTCTGGAAGGTTTTGGGCTGCCCCTGCTTTCCTTTCCTTGCTATGTTCAAGGGAGCCTCAGCCCAGAAAACCACCATCACGTCGATGAGCTCTCAGCCCGAGCGACGAGGCTGCGGAGGGAGCTGGTGCAGCATGGGGGCTTCTGGATGGAGCAAGCAACCTGGAAGTCCCAGGTCAGCTGTTAGGTCTGCAACTGATTTAACAAGGCGCTTCAGGCAAGATGCTATTTTCTCTGCCCCTAGTTACTATGGGAGGTAGGAGTGCTGACCGACCTTATGAGACGGGCCTATGCAGAGCCCTCAGAAGTGCCGTGGAAATGCTTGGGCAGCAATATGGTGGCACCTGTACCGAGCTGCAGACTCAGTTGTGCTGGCCCGCCTCAGTGTACAAGCGCAGTGTCCTGGGTGAATGTGCACTGCCAGGACAACTCTTGGCAATGATGTTACACTGGCCCCCAGGATCCGGCCAGGCCCAACAGCAATCTGCTCGGTACCCTGAAAGCCTTCTCAAAGATTCAGTTTTTTACCCCTTTCCAATTTACCTGTTTGAGAAGCAGGTGCGTTTGGTGAGATGGTGGCCCTTTCGTCGCTCTGTGGAGAAAGGGAACAGATGAAGCTCAAGCAAGTTTCATTCCAGTGCAACACACAAGGTACTTCTGACACCATTTTGGGACAAGAAAAGTAAGGTGTGCGGGATGGACCGGTGATTCTCTAAGAGATAAAGGGGTCCTTTAGAAGATTGGGTGTAACGATTCTGGGCATGCAACAACGGAGAACAGCATTTGCTCTCTGTGAAGGTTGAACCCACTTGGGCTGAGACCCACAGAGTAAAAGCATTTCCAAAATACCAGCCACTGTGAAGCGGGAAGACAAACATTGCTGAGAGACAGCTGCACCCTTGATTACATACAAGACCCTCCACCAAAGCCAAACGAGTAGAAGGCACAACACTTGACTGCAGGGATCACTCTGGTTCAAAGGCAGTTCCTACACTTTCTGATCAGAGATTACCATTTCCATCAGGGACACACAAAAGAATCACATTCAGCAAGGGGGACAGGACTTGGCAGGGAGTGTGCCGTTTCTGGACAAGCCACAAAGGTAGCTGAAATCTGCCCAACAAGTAAGGCGCGAACAGCTAACACAGATAAAGATCCCTCTGGTTCCTAGGCTGTGTTTATCTCAGGAGGTGGGACCATCTAGCTCCAAGCTTCGGCCAAGTTTTAGAAGTGAGCCACAGGGGCTTTCCGACAAGAAATATGAAGTCACAAAAGAGGAACTGGTTGTAAAGTGTTGCTCAGAAACCAGCTGGGGAGGCCCCCACTGGGGAGCTCTCAGCCACGGATTCTGCCTCTGCTCCGCCACCCAAACTCTCGCCATGAAAGGACATGCAGCAAGCAGAGTCAGCGGGAGGCCTGTACGGGTATGGGGCGCTCTGCCCAATGAAGCCCCCTTGCACCAGCCTTTCTCTGGTTTCAGCACCAGGCTAAGGGCTTCCTTTTGTCTGGGCACCGGGCAGTATTTGGTGAGCTTTCAAACCCTTAGACATTTCTTACTATTGCTTAAAACAGATCTGGAGATCTGTGAGCACTGTCTGATTACACTTTTCTATGTAAGTGATCTTTGTAATGTATTTTTAGACTTTTGTAAACCAGCCAGAGAAAGGCAGAGAAATGTAATGAATGAAATGAACCAGAGCAGGTGATCCAGGTGATGCGCCTTAGCCTCTCCAACACCTTCCAGGTCAGACCTGAGGAAGAAGCAGAGGAGTGACCCCCTTCACCTGCGTCTCTGCCCTGTTCTCAGAAGGACAGGTCCTACAGCAGTTCTGCGGCACGTTCTTCATATATATTGGTCTGAAATGATTCCAGTGAATCACTGAATATTAAATAACCACAGAAAGGCATGTAAATGCCTGACCTTTCACAATTAAAATTTAGAAAGCTTCTCTTTGCAAAGGCCTGTAACACACAAACAAGACCAGGTGCAAAGGTAACATGAGGTGAGGGATGGATGTGGCATGCAGCTATTTTAGTGGTCAGAAAAGTTTGGCTTATTTGTTTTCCAAGAGGCAAAAGAGGAATCCTAAGCAATACAGGCAAGTTCTTGACTATTACCATCTAAAAATGGGTCAGTCTGAAACTGTTTCTCTGAAAACGTACTCCTTGGCAATCCTGTTCTCACTAACTCAAAGGGCCAACCAGAAAACTGCACTGCTGGTAGTTCCAGGTGGAAAAGATGAGACTCGGTCGCAGAAACTAACATCTTGAGGTCTTCTCAACTACTTTGTGCAACCAAAATAATACAGCACCTAGAGCATGTTCCTTACGAAAGATAAGCATTTGTGGTGTTTTGGAGAAGAGGAAAAAAGCAAATAAAGGAGAAATGGAAATATATAGGTATGCACGACATGAGCAGGGTGAAAAGAGACAATTTTATTCCCTCTGTTAGAACTCAAGAAGTTAATTTTGCCCAGCAAGAGATCTAGTCTAGCCTGAACAAAGCACTTTGGACAAGGCAGAAAGGCAGCTCTGAGCTCACTGCTATCAGATGTGAGAGCGTCTCAGAGGCATTAACAGGGGCCAATTCATAAGACAAGTGGCCTAAACACAGCCATTAGCACGGTGCCTCAATGGCCTTCACATTCATGGGTTTTCACAACCCTACAGGGACTGGCTGGTGGTTTACAAGGGGAAGTGTAAGCTGCCCCTTTTGCACTGCTCTGGGCTTCCCCGAGGCACCGGGTGGCTCCAGTGGGAAACAAGATGCTGGCCCAGACGGACTCCTGGCCTGGGCCTAGAGCCACTTCCCTGTGTTTTGTTCAGCCTCCCCCGATTTCGTTCCCTCCCCCAGATACAGTAGGCAGACCTGCTCGGCAACCAACTCTTGCCAGGAGCGTCCACCAAATAAGAGCTCCCGGTTGCCCCCACACACAGGGGCCAGCAACTCTGACCGGCACTCGCCACGGGCGCTGCTGGCAAAGGCTGACAGGGAGCTGCCGGTCGAAATATGCAAGGGGCCACGGGCTGCTGGTCCCTGCCGAGGGACGTAGCAGGTCTCCGGGGGCCTTCATTTTAAAGCAGCCCACTCCGGGACAAGGGCCAAGGCTCCCTCGGGCAGGAGGCAGGCAGGAAACACAAAAGGAAATCCAACCAAGACAGTGACAGGCACATGGCATGCTCTTCACCTGGTCAAGTGTCCCCGGCCTCCTCTTAATGGTGTTGGTGTTACTGTCACTCTGAAACACTAAAAGAGGCTCAAAGCCATTCTGTCGGGGGTGGCAGAGAGAGAGAAGGGGGAGAAGAGAGCGGTGAGGCACAGAAGCACCCGCAGCGGACGGAAGGTACAAAGCAGGACAGGCAACAGACCACTCTTGGCTACAGGCTCAGCACTGCACCCACCCAGATGATGTGGCCTCACACCAAGCCGAGCCCCGATCCATCTCAGCCAGAGGCGGGCAGCAAGCGGACCCATGTCAAAGGAGAGCTTTCCAGATGATTTGCAGTACATTGGGCCCAAGATTCACGACTCCCAATTGTTCAACAATTACTTCAATACAATAATTTCCCCTGCCCAGCTTGCAATTATTCTGCCGAACCAAGAACCACAGAGGTCCCTGTGAGCTCTGCTCTGTTGTGAGATGCAAAACAGATTTCTAGCCTCGGAGTTCTTAAATTCCATGTCTTCTGCTCCTCTTGGTGGATCTCGGGGTCCGAGTAAAGCAGAAAGGAGATCCACCAAGCCTCAAGCTGGTCCATCCCAAAATGGATACTTGGGATAGACAATGACAACATCTCGCTAAGGGCTTGCACTGGTTTTCTGGGCCTACAAATGGCAGGTTTCACTGGAAATACCAAGAACTGAACGTGGACTCTGGACTTGCAGAGCAAGCACTCTGAGAGTCGTGCTCCTTGTCACAAGGTGCTGCTTACGTGCTGTCCTTCTTGAAGCAACACTTGACAACTTTCATGTAAGTTGGGGTGCACCACCTCTGCGGTCCTGGGCACAGCATCTGCTGCTGGCTCAGGGGACTGGGGCCATGCACACACACACACTCTGAGGTCATGCAGCACTGGAATGACGCACAGCGGGACTCCATTCAACTATCTACACTGTGACATGACCGGGGGCACTGGGCTGCACCAGAGCTCAGGGCTCTGCGACCGGCCAGGGTTGCTTTGCTTTTGTTGGCCTGATTTCTGTGCAACAATGAAATACGTTGCCCCTTCCCAGCGCTGAATGTGTTGTGCACATTACGCAGGAGCGACGTGAACTCAATCCACTGGAACTCCAGGTTGCAACGACACCAAACATGGCGGATTCACGGGGGGAGGGGTCGGTACTGTATTGCTGCACACGAGGCATCCCGACAGAGGGTCCCTCCCCAACATGCATCACCAGTGGGAGGGAATGAGCTCAGCGGGGCCGAGTGAAGACTGCTGGCCCTGGCGGCACTGAGTGGCGGGGGGTCTAGATGCTTGCGGGAGCTTGGGGCCACGGTGCACGGCTGCCCCAGGGACTCTCTCGGCCAGTGTGGTGCAGCTGCTGGGAGGAGGGGCAGGGCTGAGGAGGCCCAGGCCCACCTCACTCCGCCTCCGTCCAGCCCTCTGGGTGAATCTGCCCCAGACAACTGGTAGCCTGGCCGACCTCACAGGACCGTCACAAGGACAGCCAGGGGTGGAGTGAAGAGCCGTGCGCACTGCTGTGAATCCCTGGCTTGCAGGAAAGGCAGGGCACACATCGAAACAAGCCCTGGGCGAACCACAAACCATCTCAGTATCCCATGTCAGGATGCTTTTCTTTTATAACTTCTTTTATATCTTTTATATTTTTTATTTATTTTATATTGTTAATTTTAATTTTATATTGTTATTTTTGTATTTTATTGTATTTTACTGTGTTGTAAGCCGCCCCGAGGCTTCGGCAAGGGGCGGCATAGAAATGTTCTAATAAATAAATAATAAATAAATGCTTCCCACTGTACCGTTTGGGCTGCAGCCCTTCTGTGGCCAGAGTTGGGCTGTCACTGTACTGGCCTCTTTTGGTGAGATCGAGACCCACCCCTCGTGCCGGGTTGGGATTCCCTTTAGGGGGTGCAGGAGAATCAGCTCCCATACAGAGACGCCCCCTGCAGCCTCCCCCACACCAAATACTGCAGCAAGAATCTTTTCTGAGGACTGCTTGACGATGCTCAGTGATTAAACATACAGTAACTGCAGCAGGCCAAGTGCCCAGCAAGGAACCTCATCACAGAGTGTCGCCTTGGTTTGGGCAGCAAGCCCTGCCCAGGAAGGTTAATGGGACAAAAGCTGCTACACAGCCAAAAGCATTCTGACTGGCATGCAGAACTGCCAGGGCTGCAATGGGATCTTGTCCTATTAAGACACCTGCCTGCAAAATTAGGACGCCAATGAGTTTATATTAACATGCACGATGAATTCACCCACTAGGGGCAGGGCCTCCTTGGTGATGGCTCTCCCAATTATGAACGGCCTCAATAAGACCTGCCTGGAACCAAGTTTGCTATCTTTCTGCCAGCAGGTAAAGACCTTCCTCTTCCTCTGGGCATCTGGCAGCATCTGGTGAGGTTTCACTCAGGTCCTAGATTTTTCTTATCGTTTAAAAATTATTAAGATACATGCTTGCTGGTTGTTAACGTGTTTGCATATACATGGGACATTATACTATGTATAATGTGTTTTTAGTGGTATTTAAGTGTCGTAAACTGTGCAGAGCGCTTTGGCCAGTGGGTGGAGTGGAGCGTGTTTTAAAGACAGCTGGCGCAGTGCTAATCCCAGAAGCTGGTCTAGTAAAACATGTCACTGAATAGGTTTCATATCTCTAATGAATTTTTGAAACCCCGTGACTGTATGTTATTTAGGAAAGGCAGCCTAAATCCCTTCACAAGGCCCATCTTTTCAGCAAAGGCTCTGGTTTGACCTGCTTCATTGCTCCTTAGCTGAAGTAGAGTCTCATCACGTGCAACTAATTTTCCTCATACTTCCCTTCTGGGATGATCCACCCTCCCCTTTCTGCCCTTTCCATGGTGCCTCTCCTCCTCACTGGGAATGCCAGATCCTTGAGCCCGTCGTACATGCTTGTGTGAATTTACACGCATGAACACTCAGCCAATCCCAGCCCTCACAGGTGAAGTAACACACGCAGATAATGTGCATGCTGAATCTACTCCATGTTTACATATCGCAAAGCTTGTTCCCAACCCCCTCTGGTAATTCGGAGGTGGTGGGGCGGAAGAAAAGCAAGGGCCCTTCCCTGCCCTGCCCGATCCCCACCACTGCCTGCCCCGGACCTTGTGTGGGGAGGGTCTTAGAGCCCGCGAGCTGGTGCCAGGATGGACGTGCCCCGGCAAGGCTGCGTCTCCGGTTACGCTGTAGAGCTGCTGCTGAGCCCAGCGCAGCGCCTCTCTCCAATCCACCTCCAACACTCCCTCCTCCACCCGACCCACTGACCGGGGGGAGGGGGGTGCACGCAAACTGTTAGTGCCGAGCAGACTCCAATGGCAGGAATGCTTTGCTTCCCAGAATCTGGCAATGGCTCATGTTCAGCTGCAGCCGAGTGCACACAATGCTCAGAAACACATGCTCAGACACAACAGCAACCAGCTGGCAACAGGAGAGCTTGCTAAAAAACCTCAGGTGCAAGACGGGGACAAAGGCTTTAACTCCACTCCTGTGCGGGACACAAAGATACTGAAGGGACGGCAAGTCCTGCTGACTACGAGGGGTGAAGGTCATGGTATCCTGTCTGTTGGATCTACTTCCATGCAGCTTCCTTATACAGGAGCGAAGGTCATTGTTCAGAGAAGAAAAGCCGTCTCAGCTGACTAGGCTTGGTGATGTAATAAGGGAAGTGCCAAACAAAAGGTCTTCATTAAGAGCTCTACACAATATACTATTATGTTGTGAGAGCGATATCCCCACATAAAGCAAGAACAACACTGGGTTCTAAAACAGGTGTGTCATCCACATTGCTCGGGACCCGTCCATCTCAATGATGCTGCTCAAGGAGAAGTGGATGATGGATTGCTCCCTAACCAGACGCTGCATTACAGCCAGACCTGAGCCTTGGATTAGGAAAAGAGGGAAATGTCAAACATGCAAGCGGGACATGGGAGCATCTCTCTCACACGAGTCCTCATTTTACAATGCTTATGAAGATCAGTGGAGCAGGGAGGGGGAAAGAAGTCATTATACATCCACGACTGTAAGAAAGTTGGAAAGCAGGTGCTCGGTCAGCCACATTCCAGCTAACATCTCTGCTACCAATCAGTTAAGCGGGGTACCACTGAACCAAGATACAAAAGATTCCCTGCTTAGAAATGCCAAGTGCAATGTTGTACAAATTTCAGCAACCAGTTATCCTTGCCAATCTCTCTCTCTCTCTCTCACACACACACACACAGACACAAACAAAAATAACCATAGCCCTCTAGGAACACGACTTGGCTTGCTTTTTGATCCATTAGAGGCCACAGGATTCGGCCTCACTCCCTCTGCTGCAGGATGAATGGCCGCCACATTCCTTAACTTTGACTAAGGTTTAATCTGGCACCAACCTTCAACATGTTTAATATGAAATAATGCTTGTGAACAAAACTTTGGAACCCGTTTTGTGGTCTCTTCATCCAGAAGAGGGAAATGCACTGCCTGAATGTAATAATTAGGATAAGAGTGAGTGTTTCTGATGGTTTATTTCACACCCAAGTCAAGTTTCAGTGCTCCTGAATTGGCAATATGGCTGAACACGTAAAACCTTATGCACACAACTGAACAGAAAATAAATGAGTATGCAAACTGGAAGCATGCGCATCATGCACGGGCAGGCAGATCAAGAGAGATTTCTACAAAGGGAAGACAAGAAGTGGATTTCAGCAACTATTTTTAAGATACCAGTGGAGGAAGGGAATAGCATAAAACATGGAAAAGGTGTTATGTGAAATGTCAACAGCCTTAAAAAAAGGACTCATGTTTGGACAGATGTATGGGCACCTTCATTGATTTAAATAGTGAAGCAACTAAAAAATGTTTAGTCTTGGTTAGAGTTTATCGACATACTCAAAATGGATCACAGCCCACCACTCAGATGGCTACTGCCCAGCTACAGAAGCCGAGATGACCCTCTCGTATATTCAAAGGAAGAGCTCAGTGAGTTTCGAGAAAGGCGAATGGATGACGTTTCCCATCATGTCAATTCCCAGTTCATGATACTGATGTTGAACGGCTCACTGAAAAACCAGAAAGGCTCAAAAGAGATGGCCACTGAAAACCATCATGCGACAGAACATTTGGAACTTCATGGGTCACATTTGGATAGTGGAATGAGTGGCTCGTCTGTGGAGCAATCCACATAGGCTCTGCAGATCCTGCTTATTGAGCTGGCCCTGAGATACGATGCATTCAAAATTTTGCATTAAAACTGTAAGGTCAGAAAAAAATTGTTCTGAACATTGGCTGCAACCTGCTTCAAAGAGAAGACAAGGAGGTTAAGCAACAATTTATATCAAAACAGTTGTGATAAAGCAGAAGACAGCCATGTTTTATGCTATTTAGGGAAGTGCAAAACTGCCTTATCTGAGCAAACCGCAGAAGGCATGCGGACTATGGTCTAGGATGCTGACACGTAAAGAGGTCGTTGCGTGCATGATTCTTACCACCAGCAAGGCACTATCATCAGTGTGCTGAGACCTTCTGGATGGAAAAGGACACTGGGGATGCGGGAGAGATGGCAACGTCAGAAACATAAAACACCGCAACACCACAGGGAGAGAAGCAGAGACATCTGGAACTGGCAAGGTTCTTTACACGCAAGGCACATGGCAATAATCAGTAAAGTATAACTGAAACAACGGGGGTCGGGAGAGGAAAAAGCCCCATCGTTTCCTTAATAATCTCAGCATTAAACACATCTGTGACTAATTCAGGAGCTGTTCTGTTTTTCAGTCGTTGTCTCCAAAACGGAGCACAATTCGGCATTCAGATCTTTCCAGTGGTGAACAAGGCAATGTTTAGGGAAGAACACACACAGACACAGCCTGGGGGGAGCCGAAACGAAGACCAAATAAAAGGAGCAGAACTATTTGAAATCAGTCCAAAGTCACAAAGAGCAGACTACTGCAAAACCCTTTCCTATGCATTTGTGGTATCCTGTGTTAAACTTGTGATGTGCTCTGGCACATCACAAAGTAAAAACTATTTTCCACCAGTAAAACGAGAAAATCTGGCCTTGTGAGGCACAAAAACATCTTGTGGGAAAAGACAAATGCCAGTCTGGGGGGAGGAGAAGGGGGAAGCGGGGGGCAAGGCCTCGACCAAAACTCTGTTTCAAGGCACTGACAATGACCTCACGAGATGCTGCCCCGCAAGCGTCACGTGGCGGGTAGAAGTCAGTGCCTGCTGCTGCGCGCTGCGCTGCCGCTGCCGGGTTGTCCTCCCAAGCAGGCGTGCCTGCAGGGAAAGCGCAAGCCCTCCAAGCAGAGCTTGGCTGCTCAATGGCGGTAAGTGGTGGAAATGTCCACCGCCTCGTGTTTGGTGGTCAAACCCATCCAGCCGGGAATTTAGTAATGCTGAAACGAGTGGACTGCAAGGAAATGAAGCATCAGCAACTTCCTAAGTGGCTTTTTATATTTCTAGCATTAATATTGGCTCTGGCCAGAAATGCGAAGCCTGAAAACAGTCCCCTACTAGTTTTTTTTACAAGAACTTTTTCTGTTGTTTCCCCTTCAAAACAGCAGAAAAAATAGGACATTTTGGAGTACAAAATATTTTCACTTGGAATGACAAATATGTTTTAAGACAGTGTTCACATATTGGTACTAGCCCTTTACTCACCCAGTGGGATTTCTAAAAACAATATAATAGGAAGACTTATTTAAGATGAAAGATGTAAAATTTCTGGAAATGTTGAAGCCATGCCAGCAATTTTAAAATCCTCTCTCTGAGATTCCCATGTCATCGTTTCTTCTGTTCCTTGTATCTAAACTATCTTTTACTGACAGACATTCAGAGATGCTTTGAATCATCCTCATTTCCCCAACCTAATCACTGTATCATAAGATGTGAAACAATGTGCATTCTTAACTGTTCGGGTTCTTTTGCATAAAATCCAGTGCTTCTGGGCTTATTCTGGCTAGGTATCATAGCAGTCTAAACTCACATGGGAGAGAAACACTCAGCCGGTTTTTATGTCATAGCAGCAAATTGTGGATTATTTAATGCATGGGTTAACCACTGGGTGGTTTAGTCACTAAACCTTTTATCAGGCTGACAGAAGGTTCTTTACCGCCAATGGAAGTGCCTCACAAGTGATGCATGTCCTTGTGGATTGTGGGAAAAGTAACCCATGATTCACCACGGTGCTGCGTACACTGGATAGGAGTTTCTCTCATTTTAGAAATACGCTGACAGCCACAACCTCTAGCCAGAACTGCAGGTTCCGGTCTTGACGTATAAACTGGCCCACCGAAGGCCATTCTGCCACAATCAGCACATGTGATAGAATCACTTGTTGGTCATCCCACAACGTTTAAAAAAAAAACCAAACAAACCTTGCTGAGGCTTCGGTCTGTGGATCTCCCTGCCACGCTCTTTAGATAAAGTTTCCTGTTAGATCTCACCAATATGAAAAACTGCCTCCGCTATAAAACCTTTAAGCACTGCTAGCAAAATGAAGGGTCCACAGCTAAAAGAATCAGCCATCTGACTCCCATGGCCTATGGGACTGATATCATAGCTAGAAACTACTTTTCAGATTAGTAAAAACTGAGGTGTTTCGTAAGGGGAACTATTTACCAAAGAGGTTAGACATCATTTTTCAAATACTAAGGTCAGATTATGTAACGGTTCATAAATTGAATATGCTTGTTTACCATGCCTAACAGGTCCATGAGTCTTCCCCAACAAGACATGCTCCCCAATTGGGGTTCTCCTTCAAATCCCATTTCACAGCCACCTCCTTCTCCCAGGACAGCCCTGCCCGCCTCCCTTTCTCTGCCTCCAGCCCTGCTTGCTTCTTCTGCTTTCTTGGATGACTCGGGTTTTCAGGGGCTGCTTGCTGGATTCCCTCTGGTCAGGTGTAAAATAGGAATCTAAAATGCACTGTGTGTAACTTGGTTTGGCCATAGAATTATCATGTCTGAGGGCCTCATCTTGCACAGCCTGGGACTGCAATACCTGTCAGAGGGCCCTGCCCAGCCCCAATCTACCTGGATTCTACCCTCTGGGGTGGCCCCCCATTTATGGAGCAATCTCTTCATGTAGTCCGCCAGGTGTGGGAAGTAAGAAGGATGGCAGTCTTGGGCAATCGATCCCACAGGCTGCTGCCTGCATTCCAGACTATTTGGAATTGGACAGTGAGACATGTTTCAGTGGGATTGGGGAGGATGGGCTAGGTCAAGATTCTGAGACAGAATCAGAGGCGATTCTCTCAAGGCCGGGTGCTTTGCGGAGCCAGGCAGTTCCTGGGAATATTCGCCCAAGATGTACAGCCAGCGGGAGGGGCCCCTGAAGATGAGGAATTTCTGAATGCCGACCAGGCCCCCACTGCTCTCAGCCCCATGGCAAGGCGTTGGGAGAGGCAGGAGGCCCAAGTGAATGAGCAGCGTGTGGAAGGCAGATGTGCTCCCTTACAGAAAGCCCCTCCCCCCAGGGGGTGGGGCCAGGAATGCTCATAAGGAGAGTTTCTGGAGATAAACACTAGATTGGATTCAACAAACAGCTTTGCGCAAGCTCAGAAATCTGTTCAGGGTAATTTGAACCCTTCCAAGGAACTCAAGGTGGTTTACATAATTCTCCTCCTCCTCTCAAACTTACCCTCCAACAACCCTGTGAGGTAGGTTGGACTGACAGTCTGGGACGGACCCAAAGTGTGATTGGGAACTAGAAACCAGAGCGCCCAGATCACCAGTCCCACACTCTTAACCACTATACCACACTGGTCAAGTAACTCTTAAAAGTGGCCAAATTACTTCAGATCTTATTGGGCGCTAAAAGTAAGTACTGCGAATTTTCCAATTTCCCCCAAAATTTCAGTTTCACCCTGATGTTTTTTTCATGGCTTCAAAATTTCTGGAAACATTGCATTCCTAAACAAATTATTTTACGATGACATATATTCATATTTTTCTGTATGGAAAAATACACAGAATATAGTCTAAAATGAAAACAAAGGAGGAAGGAAGAAGTCTTACAAAGTGAATAATCTACAGTCTGAAGTGAAAATGAAGGAGGAAAGAAGATGTCTTACAGAGCAATACAAAATCCAAAAGCAAAGCAGTAATATTTAAACTCCTCATTCTTAAGTAGATGTCTTTTTGAATCAGTTGCACTACTTGAACTAGAATTTACTCTCCAACACATCACAATCCTAGACGTCTTCTACAGAGTTTAAGAAATGAGAAAAAGCTGATAGCTTCCAGTTCTTACCTCACTATCCAAATGGCTTTGCTTCTGAGGGTTCTGGGATGCCTTTTGCTTTGGAAAATAAAAAGGAACAAGTTAATGGGGGAAAAGGCTAAGGACAGATGCTTGAGTCTGAAGAAAAGTGTGACATGATGTTGGCATTCTTGGAAACATTAGAATACTTGAACAGCTCAATCAGAGAGGACAAATGTTGATTTAATGCAGAAATTTAGGGAACGATCTTGCAGCTCCTTAAGTTACGGAGGGTCATAGGAAAGTTCAGATTCCAAGCTTCAGTGTCAGACAGAACTGCAGCCTGGGAACCTGCACTTTCATCCCTTTCCTCACTGCCTTGCGGCCAGTGCTGTGATTGTGAGGGCAGTCTTGGAGAAGGGCTGAAATGGGAAGGGAGAACACGGGGGTGGCCACCGCATGAGGCATCCTGCAGCCACGGCAGCCGCCTCCACTCGCTTCCTTTGGAAGTGCTGCTGGGAACATTCAGAGCGGGACAAGTGGGGAGGCAAAGGGGTTACAGCACACATCAGGGATGGTGTACAAAAGCACTGCAGCAGCCATCAAGGGACAAGACATGGCATCTTAAAAATAATGCACGAGTTCCTCTCCATGGACTGGAAGGGGTTTGGGGTTACTTGAAAGAATCAAGGTTTCTTTCACTGCGAGCGTTGTCAAAGGAAAATAGAACAGCATCATGAACGGATGCTTAGTGGAGTTGTGCTGAAAAGTCTGGAGTTGCTTTGCCAAGAATATCGCTATCCTTCCACTCTACTGCAAAAGCTGATGAAAGCCCAGCTCCACTGTGCATCAACACAGAGCCTGAAGTTGGTAGATCTCTTGACACGCTAGGCCTCCATTTTCCAAATCGTTGCTGAATTCCAGCATCCTCACTGCCCTTCCACCTATGAACAACATAACCTGATGGGGCTCATTATCATGTGCTGGGTTTATAAGAGGACCCCCTATTTTTTGCTTCGTTATTTTCAGTTTCACAGGGCATCTTATACACCAGTATATATGGCATGTATACTGTTTGTTGCCTGGACAACTTTTAGCTACAGCCTACCAATATATCTTCAAAATGTCAAATAAAACTGAGCCTGTCATGCCACAGCCTGAAGGGAGTAAGTCTTTCACGGGGCAGCCTCTTGGGACCTGCCATTCAGTACCGATTAACGCTAACGCTGGCTCAGACCATTTTGCAGAGCTACACTGGTAGTCAGCTCTGGGCACTTAGTGGAGCTGGCGTTTTATGGTGCGGCTGTGTCCTGCAGTGCTCTTCCTTGGCAGGAAAAAATACGAGGCCACACAGGAGGGAATGCTATAGAGAACTGAGAATGCCCTTACTTTGACAAAATCAAGAACGGCTTCTCTTTGTATCTGTTTTGTCCTCTTCTTCTCCTCCTCGTACTGTAATGCAGCAAGCTGGGCTTCCCTCCGGGTCCGCTCCACCAAGTGCTCACGCCTCTTGTGTGGATCAGCATCCACGTGAGAGACCTGGGAAAAGGAACTCCTTGAATACACGCCTCGAGGCCACAGCCACACAGACGCAGTGGCGGACGGCACGTTCCCAAAAGTGTGACAACTGCAGAGAGCATCTATTACCTGATTATGGGTGCTGGACTGCGGAAGATGGCTAGAAGTTTCACTGGAGCCTCTGAAGGGAAAAGAGAACTTCATAGGGTACAAAACAAACATTTCTTCTTGACTATATACTTCTGTAATAACGTAGTGAGCACAGGGCAATTTCGTGGGACCAGCAGCCCACCTTGTGAACAAATCGCACACCACGGGGTTTGCAGAACGATCCCTGGCTACGACCAACAAATGACTGGATTTCTGAGGGCTGTTTCCCCCTCCATCCCAGCTGGTCCTGCAGTCAGTATCCTAGTGTCCTAGGTGGCAAGAGCCATCTTTTCTCTCCTCCCCTGCTCGCACTGGGACCCCATTTTTGTTCACGGGTGTTTTTTTAAACTTTTTAAGAACTGTGCAGGGGTCCATCCAGTCCTGCATCCTGTTTACAGGATCCCGCAAGCATGAAATGCAAATATATATGATTAAAACTGGTTTTTTTTGTAATTTATGTACGTTTTTATGTTCTAGTATTGTAAGCTGCCCAGAAAACCTTTGGGTTATGGGGCAGCATAGAAATGGACATAAATAAATAAATATAATATAAATAAATAAAACAAAATCCCCCCTCCCCTGTAGTTCTCTAGCAACTTGCATACATAGGCATAGTGCCTCTGACACTGGAACCCCAGGCTGCTGCTGGGGACAACTTCAGCACCAATGCCCACGTGGCACTTCGGAGCAACTATCCTTGACTCCTTATCCTTTTAAAAGCAAATGTTCGGGTGGCACAAATATCTGTGACTTTTATCATCACCGGCTGAATCTGATGCACTTCTACAGCTGCTCAAAAGGTCAAATCTCGCCTGGGCAAAGTCCTGGAAAGCATCCGGTATCAAACCGCAGTGGGGAACATTCACGCAGACTGACCCAGTGGGGCTTCAAACTGGTTACAATCCTCAGTGCCCTCCACCTTATCCACGCATCTCCTTTTTCGCAAGTACTTATTTTTGACAGCTATCTAAAGAAAAAGGCTGTTTTCTTTAAACCGATCAAGCAAATGAGAGCATGATTTCTGGACAGGAAAATGTGTGCGGATGTCATGGCGGTAAGACCTGACTGTCGCCAGAGAAAAATCAACCGTTTCTGCTACAGATGAAAAGCAGGCATCTGTGCATTCGTGCCTCAGCATGGTTCGAAGACCTCCCAGCCTTGTTCCCGCCCTTGCCTTTGAGTGTGCAACGGCCCATGATATTCCACAATCTCAGTCCCAGAAAAAATTGGGATACATTTGCCCTGTGCCCCTATTCTACAAAACCAGAATGCAGACTGACAAACGATAACTCGTTCAAAGCAGCTTTTCTGCGGCAGCCTCTCTGAGCAAGAGCTCCTACGGGCATGCAGCCGGCTCCTGTCCTGCAGCCCTGGCGTGCATCACAGCCCCACACCGTCATCTTCCGCCAGGCATCCACTGCATAATAGTCGGGGGCACGTCAAACTCGCTAAACAGACTGAAGTAGGAAGATGGCTTTTTGGCATCAACCAGGCATTGATGAGGCTCAGGAAGCCACAGGAAGCAGAAGGCTTCACTCTACCACTTAGAGTAGGCTCCTATGCAATTGAGACAGGAAACATGGCCTGTAACTCCCACCAAACCCCAGCCAGGGCATGCTGAGAGTTGTAGGCCTTTTCTCTCTCTCAGTCTGCATAGGACTGTTCCCTTAGTAACTCAGCTTTAGGGGAGGCATTTTGGCCTTTTAGGACGAGGGGACAAACTGCAGAAAAGCTTGGAGCCGGACTACCAGTGAGTGGGGAAAGGAGTGGAGCCTGCAGAATGGGGCATGGCCATTTGGGGAACCTTGCAGGATTGGATTAGAACCAATTACAGCTGAATTTGACCTCCAGTCCTAAAGTTACTAGAACCCCTGTAGATCCCGGAAGCACACATGTACAAATGTGTACACTACATCTGACTGAGGGCACATATTAACAGCACATGGACAGCAATCAAGCTACGGGCTTAATAGGTCAGTAGTCTGTGCAATCCTAGTCAATTTATACTTCCAGTTACTGGGGAATGTGATATTCTACACATTTTTAGAGCAGACTATCACAGCAACAACACACCCATGGTTCACTTTTCAAAAAGTGATATTATGCAATAAAACTGGCTACTGATAGCCACACATTCTCTTTCTTTTAAATAAAGAGTGGGGGCTGGGCAGGCAGTGAATCCTTCTCATGAATTCTTACCTCTCTGCCCGGTCTAAGAAGCTCTTTAGCACTTGTGGTCGCTCTCTGTCATTCATCAAGCTCAGACTTTCGGGTCTTTTCAGTTCATCTGCATCTCTGCAAATACACACACAGAAGTAGGACTTGGTTACTGATACCAAGAAAGTGAATGAGAGACGGAGAAAGGTTGCAGCTTTTGAGCAAGCGTTTCAATGGAACAGTGACATTAAAGGTGCAGCCCTGTACAAGTTTAGACAGAACAAAGGTCTATGACTCCAAGCCTGTAGGCCTTTCTTTTCCTTTCTAAACCTGCAAAGGACTGTGCTCTCAGATCCAGCAAGTCTCAGACGGAATCTGATTTTAAAAAGGATAAAGTCAGAGGTGGCATCCGCAGGGCTACTGCCAAAGACTTGTGCTAGAATGAACTGACACCTGGGCTCCATTTGCTTTTCTCCAGTGCACGAATGTTGTTTACGCTAGTGCAAATGCTGGGACTCGGCTGGATCCTATTTCCCAGAATACCGTCAGGACAGGACAGCTAAACGTAACAGTGACTTTACACCGAGCCAAGCTTTTATCACTGACCAGTCTTAACGGTAATTCCCGGCTGGAGCGCCTCTGTACGTGCGTGGCGCGGTGTTTAGAATCCTGGACCGGGACTCAGGAGACCCGGGTTCCGGTCCCCACTCAGCCATGAAGCTCCCTGGGCGACTCTGGGCTAGTCACTGACTCTCAGCCCAACCTACGTCACAGGGGTGTTGTGCGAATAGAATGGAGATGAGAGGGAAGTTAGGTAGGTCACCTTGGGACCTGATGGGAAAGAAAATACAGATGGAAGGGCTAAGTTCTGCTCTAAAATTTCACTTGCACTTGGAGTGTGAACGGCAAAGCTTGGAGAGACTTCTGCATATTTTCCTCTAAAAAATCCAATTGGATTTTGCATACTCAGAGGGAAATGCATCTCTCCCCTAGACTGCATGCTAAGTTTCAGTGCAAGGTACAATGGAGAAAGCAGTATGTCAGACCTGACAGATCCTTAATTTTAACTGCTGTAGTGAACTCAAGGATTAAATAAAGCACACTTTACGGAGCATAAGGAAACCCCACTAGGAAATGCAAGGAAAAGATTCCCACAAGTGTAGTCCTCTCATGAGGAGACGCTGCATACTTCTAGTATTTCTCTATTTACAAATGGGCAAGTCAAGCATGGGGGAACCAGACGGGCAAGCCTCCAGACGAACAGTGATAGCTTGTAAAACTGTAGCAGCTCCCCACAAAGCAATCCGTGTGCTCCCACCAGCCCTGAAACTTTTCCCTGCCTTCGCTGTACTCAAATGCTGATCCAGTGAGACTTGTCTGCTTTGAATCACATCAAGAACTACGCAGTTTAAGAAAAACCATCTTAACTTGGCATGAGTTGAACCAGTTCTATTTTTATACCAATCACTAACAACACAGATTTTGTTAGCTCTGAGGCAGCCCCCTGGTTCTAATTTAAGCTTCTGTGATCCTCGGTCAGGAGCATCATCATTTTGCCCATTTTTGGTTAGGTAATTAACAACCTACAACCAGTTTAGACTCCTCAGAAGTGAATTTAATAGTGTCAGCTACATTCAGTCAGGTATTAAATGGGAAAAAGCAGCCCCCATTTAAAGATTCACATTTCAAGCACCATTATTCTATAGCATTCCATGATGGATAATAATCTTGCAAGTGATTTTTGTTCTAGCGAAATCGGTTTGGTTGCCAGATCTGAAGCTCTATACTCAAGGCAGTGCAGCTTATATTACAAAATGTGGAAGCAAAGTTGCCATGTATGGTGAACAGAGAAGACTTACTGCTCACGCTGGTAACTGAGTACATGGGGCCGAATGAGCTGGCAGGAAAGGACTCAGTAAGATTCGTGCATGATATCAGTAATTTACCACCGAAATAAAGCTCCCCATGGCTGGCGGATCCCGAGGACCGTGCAGGCGTGCACCTGGCTTTTCTGCATTCAAACCCCACTAGCCACTCACCGCCTTTTCAGAGCCAACGTTTGTCCCATGCTGCACACGTAATGGATAGTAATGTAGACCAACGTCAGCACAAACCAGTTTAACTCGGCCCATTTTCTTTTCTTCATTCCCCCCCCCCCAACACAATTGTTAAAAACAGTAAAATACTTTAATTTAGCATATATATAGTACTATAGTTGCTCAATCACCAGACCAGAACCTGGTGCTAATGGTATCTTTACCATTTTGGGGAAAGTCCGAATAGGATTCACTTTTTCCCCCTGTAGCAACTTATAACTTACTATTTTGTTAAACTCCATGGCAGGCTAGATCTTTTTCCATTGTACCAGAAATGGTATGCATGTTTACAGCAAGACTTTCACAATTCAAGCCTGCTTTTAGAGATGGTTATTACTGAGTGAAAGATGAGGGAAAGCATCAGCCGGCTGACTCTGTTTGAACTCTTGGCGGCTTTCACTACCCTCCACCAGGGAATTCTTCTGCACTGAGGGTTTGAGTTGGACATGGGGGGCACTGCACTGCAGTGACTTCACTCCTGTTTGGGTAGATGGCTCGTGGGGGACGTTCCCTGGCCTGTGAGTTCCCCAGCACAGGGCTCCTCGCGGGTCTGTTCTGTCACTCCGGAGCGCGGCCATCCAGAGTTTAGAAGTCTGCTGCCATCACAGCTCTGTTTGTCCTTCTCAGCTCCTTCAGGTGAGGCTGTGAGTGCAACAGGTGAGTGCCTGGCTGTGACAATGGACTGGATAACAGCTAGGAAATGGAAGCTCAGCCTAGGCAAGACTGAGACACTGTGAACGGGCAGCTCTTCTGACTGGATGGAGGCTGAGCAACCTGCCCTGGTGAGGGAAGCCAGCTCCCATGAAAGAAAAGATGCACAGACAGCAAACTCTCCTGATTTCGCACTGACCACTGGATTTTGGGTTCCGGGCCGAGCTGTGCCCGTCGGAAGAGGGCTGAACTGGCGTCAGGAGTGGTCACCACCGTGTTCCACTGCAGAGGCTGGGCTGCCTCTGAAGACTGGTTTGGGAGCAGCAGCTTGTGCAGAACGTGGCAGCCCGGCTGATGGCTGGGACAGATGTCTGAGCACATAACCCTAATTCTGGCCCACTTGTACTGGCTGCCTCTCTATTTCCAGCCCCATTCAAGGACTAATTTGAACCTGTAAAGCCTTACCTAGTTTTATAAACCCTTCTACAGCACACCTGATGGAGCACCTCTGAACATGAACCCCTACGTTGCAACAGCATCCGAGACTCTCCCCACAACTGCGTCCCCAAGGAAGTTTCCGAAGACAGGAACATGGAAGTAAGCTTTTTTGTGATGATCCCAACTGTGAAACGCTCTTCCTAGTAAGGTCCGCCTGGTGCCCACATCATCTTTTCAGCAACAGGTTAAGATTCTCCTTTTCTCCAAGGCATTTGAGATGTTTCGTCTTAAATTTTTGTATGTCAATAATTTAATATTCTGTTATCATAGTGTATTTTAGGGTTGTAACCTTTGTAAACTACTGAGAGAGCTTTGGCTGGCAGGCACTGTAGGAGTGGAATGAGTGAGTGCAGATGCAACATTGCTACAGAAAAGGAGTGCGGGGGGGCGATTCATGTGTGGGAGAAGAGTGAGAGATGTCACACTCGCAATCTCCTAACCATGGTTAGGAGCTCAGCATCAATACTTAGGCACTGTGCTCAACTGGATGCATAATGCTGTAATACAGAGGTGCAAAAGATTCAAAGAATCCAGAATAATATTGCTGGAAGGTGCCTGTAACCTCTTGCTTGACGTAGGATTAAACTTGCAGTATGGTATGACCACAAAACCAAAACTTGGAATCCACGGTATCAGATGACACGTTTCATTCTCAAAACAGTGATTCGTCCTGCAGATTTCTAGAACCTGATCAAACAGAAGTACTCACCTGCTGTGATGCAAGTATCTCCTCCCATCTTCTGACCTGGACACTGATTTTACTGGAGAGCCCTTAAGCAAACAAAGAAGTGGGACAGAAACATCAACATTTCTAGTATGCCGAGAAGGGTCTGAGACAACACTTTCCAAAATTAAGCCTGCCATTCCCGCCAACCTTGCTCAATATTATTGATTTTTGAAATGTCTGGATCAAAATAAATGCACCCAAGAAGAATACTTGTGGATTTGAACTATGTGTCAGCAAACAAATAATGAACAGAAACTGCTGTGTGTGTGTCGAATTAAAAAGAAGACTGTAGTGTGGACACTGCTGCCTCCAACCTTAGCAGGGAGCAGTAAACGGGCAGAGGCGCTCCTGCTGATGGTGCAGGGCGTTCTGGACACAGAAGTATTTATGTGATCGCTGTGGAGAACATTCTCCAGCATCTCTCCTCTCAGATTAAACAGTGGCTATTTTTCAGCAGTGCCTCTGAAGGCAGGCTAGACAAGAAGAAGGGTTGGGTTATAAGAACACTGCCAAACTGACATTCAACGCAAGTGCGGTTGTTTGGTCCTTTCTCAGCTTCATACAACTCAGCATCATTTTGTGTGATGCTCAAATTTCACCTGCCAGCTTCAGTTCCATATGGGGATTAAAGAGCCATGTGAGGTTTTAAAATGCATTACCCATCATTCTGCTGCAACGAAGCAGCACGGCAACACAAATCAAAAGAGAAGACTGTGTTGCATTGGGCACTAAAAACTGAGCAGGCAAAATCAGCATCTAAGAACTGAGTTCACGGAACCATGAGCCATGGCCTGAGCATCCACCAAAAGTTGGCCATAAGCCAGATGCACCCAAACAGAGTTTGCAAATTATGGCTTGTGCAGAATGTTACCGATGCAGAGATTAAGCCATGGTGAGTTCAGTTTTTCCATCTCTTTTGCTGGCAAGTGAACAAGAGCACCAGCGGAAGTAGTTAACAAACCCTAGCAAGCCAAACCATAATTATTATGCCTGTGCTGAATTGTAAGGGGGGGGGGGAATTCCAGAATAGCAGTACCATCACTGAGAGTGTTTTTCACTCCTTAAATAGACTGATCACCATAGCTGATTGTTCTTGATTAGTGGTTTAAAAAACAGATATAATTCTAAATGGTTTAATGCTTATAACAACCACACTTATTTAGTTATTGGTCACATTCATATCCTGCCTTTTCATCCAAGGGGTCCAAGGCAGTATGCATGATCTTATTTTATTTATTTATTTATTTATTAAAACATTTATATGCCTCCTTTCCATTTTATCCTCACACCAACCCTGTGAAGTAGGTGAGGCAGAGAGTCGGCGACTGGCCCAAAATCGCGGTTTCACGGCTTAGTGAGGATGAGAGTCCACGTTTTCTCAATCCCAGTTGACCAGTCTAACAGTCCACCGGCCTAACTAAACCACAGCAGGTCTTAGAGCAAAAACGGGTGCCTCCAGGCTAAGTCACTCTGCATTTTGGAAGAGGATTCAGTATTTCAGCAGGCTGTGTGTTCCTGAGATGGTGCCACCCTCCCGACTCATTGCCAGACTTGCAGAACTAATACGTGGTCCATGGAAATCTGAACCAGCATAGTTGCAAGAATGGAAATTAGGGGAAATATAAAAGACCCTTTAAGCCCACTGCTGAACAAGCAATAATTAAGCAAGCCCACAGACATGGCGATATTATCCCAAAGCACACAAAAGCAGCGTATTTTGCCCCCGGGGAAACCCCAGTGCACTCAACTGGAAGATCATCTGGGTAATTACGGAGCAAGAGGCCTCGCCGCTGCTTCGCCCGCCAAGAATAATGGTGGCTGTGTTGGGCCCTGAGCGCTTCTGTGGGATGCAAAGTGGAAGGAGCTGCTGAGACACTGAAAGGCCTTCCAGAAGAGAACAATAAGGCAACGAAAATGAGCTTCGGCCCAAATCCACGTTATAATCATGACACGGGGGCACAAACTGTAATCCGAGCACAGGACGCCTGGCTTGTTAAGCAAAGCTGGGGATTATCCCATGCAGGCAGCCTGCACCACATGGGATTCAGCCCACTGCCCCAAGCCTCCTGTTATACTGATGCAGAAGCGTTTAAGATTAGAGGCTAGGGAGGAGCAAATGCATCACTTTAACATTTCCTGAATTTGATTTCAGGCTTATGAAGGTCCCTTCCACTTCCTGCAGTCCAGACACTCACAACAGGGGGTAGAGTGCCCCTCAGTCTGCTTGCAACAGTTAAAGAGGTCAGAAACAAAGCAAAGCCTACTGCCACCAAACAGTTTGAAAGGAGATGCTTAAAGAGCATCTCATTTAACGAAAGATGAGTCAATATTAAAGTGAAGACACTTAAAGTGCAAATGCACTCCCAAATCAGTCTTCCTATTAAGTAGGACAGCTTTTAAACAACGCAAATGCTCCAGCGCTCAAAGAGCATTTTGATAGACCTCTCATTCTCTCTGTCCCATTTTATGCCTAGGTTTTAGCGTGCATTACCACCAAGGAGGATGTTGGCATGTTCTCACAAGTACACAAAAGCTATCAGAATTCACAACTGCCCCTGCACCAGCTTTGTGGCATTCATGAAACAAGAAAGCCCAACTGGAAACTCTCGCAAGCCTGTCCTCTTGAAGGAACAGCTGGAGAAGCTTTTAATGTGCCTTTCCTCGTTACAGGTGGTCCCGACAAGGAGCAATCAAGAGAATGCCCTTACGAGTCTTCAAAACTGCAAATGAGCCACACTTCATGTCCAACACAAAGCCGTCATCCTGAACTTGTAGATCCCTGCAGGGAAGAGCCATTTAGCTGGCTTCAAATGGTGTCTCTCAATAAACCATGAAGTAGCAGCTCCACCATTACTTGGATGCTCTAAGGGGCAAACAAGGTGTATCTACAGACACACCTAAAGACCTGTTGACACTGATCCCGGAATACCACTGAGTACACTAGAAAGCACCATCAAGCAGCTCCCAGAATTTCTACTCCATTTCCATTCTGTGACATAAAAGTTACTGTTCTGAAGTTTAAATACTAGCAAGTTCCTAACCACTGTAACAAGAAAAGAGTAAGAATTCAGTTCTTATTATCTCGACCTAATTTGTTACTGTAAAGCTATACATCCAATTACATGAAATCAAGACAAGCCATCCCTCTTCTTTTCATTCATCTTTTCTGCAGACTGAACCACAAAGTAACTTGAGAATAGAGAGTGAGAATGCTGGTACAATGACATTCACTGGACATCTAAATTGTAACCTTTCAGTTCAAATACCACAGGGCAGATTTAAAACAGCACATTTCTTAAAGACACAAGCAGGACATTGTTCAAGCCTATATTCCAAGAATAAACCCCCCAAACTGGCTGAATGTCTTTATTTCTTAGAAAGATAGAAAGGCCATATTTTATAAATGCTTGACCTTTTTCCTCTTCCCTTGGGCATCAGAAATTGCCACAATGGTATACAGGGTGGGGTTGTACTGAAGGGCTACAGACCACATCCAGCATAGAAGTCTTAGGAGAAGCGGCTGCATCCGTGGAGCTCCGCTGCCTTCTCCCATCTCGCAAGGGTAAAACTAAGGGGTGCAAGCGGTTTTCCATGCTCCTGAAGTCTTTCTTTGTACCCTGTTCAGGGCCTGGTCCCCTCTGGTGCAGCGTTATTTGCACTTGTGAAAGGACGCAGTGGGCTACAACCCGAAAAGCCCCTTGTCTGAGGTTTGGTGGATGGGTCTGGTTTCTCAGGCAGTGCCCAACTGCTAATGAGAAAATATCCAACTGATTAAACAGAAGATGCCAAAAAAACAAGAGAATTAAAGTCAATCATTAAAAAAATTAAGAATGGCTTAGACATATACTATAAAAGCTGTGCACAATAAAAGGATACCTGAATACAGTATGTAAAAACTACTTGCTCTCAAAGCTATCCAACCACCTCTAAAAAGGCTCTTTTGTGTTGGTGGCAAACTAACTTGGATGCAATGCCATGTGGGAAATTGGCCGGTGCCTGAAGAAACTGGGTTGCGTAACTCACTCGTTTTATTCATTGTTGCCAACTAAAACAGTAAATAATTTGCGACTCCAAACAGGATATCAGTGACACAGGATTTACTGTGACATGCTCATTTCACTCTTGTTGTAGTAATGGCGACAGTACACATTCCCAGTGCCATGAGCCATTTCACAAGAAAATTCAAATATTATGCAAGCATTAAATAGTGTGCGGCATTCCCCCCAACGCTTAGCTTGCCATGCAGGAATTCTCTCTGCTAGCTTTAACCAAGATGAAGGGTTATATCAACGCCGGTATTAAGCATGGCTTAATCTGGATTTGAAATGTGGTTAACATCAGTGCAGACTTAATACTTATTATAATTAATGGTGAAAGATGGGTAACACAGATGCCACATGCAAGATGGGAAGAGGCATACGATCCATCCACCACTATTAGGTGACTGGGGATGTTGCAACCTGCAGCAGCTGTAACTGGCTCCAAGGTTTGGCATTTGACAAATGATAAAAGAATTCCCAAAGTATGAACAACTGAAATTAGATGGTTCTGAGATTGTCCAAAGGAAAGAAGGCACACTCAAATGGTGGGTGGTTATCCGTGTTGCCCCTACGTATTTTCAATTTAGAGAGTCTGCACCCAGATTACGTGCTTATTAGAGAATACTGTGAATAGCACTAGGAAAATAAGGGAAATGGCACTCGTTCCATTATAGTCAAAAGCCGCACTGCAAGTTGCGTGGGAAGACTACAGAGGCCAAGCTTCTGGGGAGAGATGCCGTATGATCCAACTCCAGCAACTGACTGAATCAATGGGGCTCAAGGCCAACCAATCAAAACCACCGCAGACAAGAAACGTCAACACAACAAAAAGGAACGTCATGGGGGGACACACACACACAGGCAACCGATTTAAAAGGAAGCACCACCTCGTGAGATATGCGCCGTTGTTCAATATATGCCATGAACTGTGAGCTGAGGCTGTCTGGCTCCATGCACTTGGGTTGCCTCACCTCTTCCTCCTCCTCTTCGGTGACACAGCTGTCAATGAAGTCGATCTGATCCAGATCATGTTCCACTTGACGCATGCAAAGAAAAAGAGCATAATTAGATAAGATAGACAGACTGAGTTGGAAAAAGGGCAGAGAAGGGCAACAAAAATGACCAGGGGACTGGAGCAGCTCCCCTAGGAGTGGTTATGATAAGTGGGACTGTGCAGCTAAGAAAAAATGGCAAAGAAGGGGAGACAGGATGGAGGTGCTTAAAATAATGTGAGTTTTATTTTATTGGGCTTATTGGATGCTGTGCTTCATTTTATTCTGCTTTTATTGTAGTCCGTCCTGAGACTGTAGCAGTCGGATGTCATATAAAAGCTAGAAAGCAAGCAGGCAAGCAAGCAAGGAAGGTGTGGAGAAAGTAGAGACATTTCCCCACTGTCCCATAACACTTGAACACTTGAACCCAGGGTCATCCCATGAAGCTGCTCAGTGGGAGGTTTAAGACAGAGAAAAGGAAGTACTTCTTGGACTCACCCTGCCTGAGGGATCCTGGGGGCAGCTGGTCAGTACAGTGTGCTGGACTAGCTGGACTTTTGGTCTAATCCTGCATGGCTTTTCTTAGGTTCTTAAGCAGCAGTTGTAGAGGTGGGGGAAGAGCAGCAACACAAGTCATACTACCACTTCAGTCTCAACAAGTAATTCTTTTCTCACAGGAGCACCACCTGATTTGAATCTGACTGAGAACTGTCTTGCAGTGGGCTGGCTTATACAACTGATGAACAAGTAGCAGCCTTGATTAAAAGGGCTGACTGGGAGGAGAGATCCACTGATTAAATCTAAACAAAAGGCCATTTCATACTTCTGAACACATTGCAGAGTAAAATTTCCCCATATGGGGGTTTTATGGGCCACTAAAATAATCAGAAATATATCAATTCCCTTAGGCAGTAGCCATTACATGGACAGACACCTTGCTGCATACCTGCCTTGAATTTTCAGAAGCTGAAAGCAACAATATTAATTTCTCAGGGCCACTTTTAATGCTCATTTTGGCAGAGGCAAGTTGCTCTGTTTTCTGTAAGTCAAAACAATGACCCTGAATAGCACATTTCTGGTTTCTAGTCTACCCGTGAACTCAGAAACCTCTGTGTCAGTTCAATGAACTGGCGAATGAGTGTGATGTACGTATTAATAAGCACAGAGATACTAGACTGGCCAACTGGACCTGCAAATATTGTATAAATGGATTTTGATCTCCTGGATTCTTGTGCAAATACCAAGGATAATTCTTGCAATTAAGTTCTTTGCAACTCTATTTTGTCTTTGCTAATTTCAAATATAAAGCGGAAAAAAGAAATGGAAAGAAAAGAGGTGCAAATATTGCAAAGGAAGAAGCATGAGAGAAAATACACTTTCAGAAGTGTATACAAGCTTAAACAAGCACATAAAGAGTAGAGGATGCAGCTTTCCTTAATCCCCATACTCATATTAACCAAGTTTTTTAAAAAAATTCATCACTGCTTCAGTAAGTCCAATGAGACTTTGTCATTATGGTGCAACAAAAAACTTTATGAAAATGCTGCTTTCAATTCAGTATTCCTTATGGTTTCCCATCCTTCAGAAGTGCGGATGGAGCCATTGTGTCCATTCACACTCTACGATCAGTGTGGCAAAAAAAAAAAAAAAAAAAAAAAAAAAAAGCGCACTGCCACCATTTTGCATATGTAACCTCAAATCAGGACGAACAGAACTTGCGACATTATATTAGAACTTGGGCACTATGCAGGATTCATTAAACAACCCATCCTTAACCTAACTTCTAGTTGCCAATGGTCTGTTGCAGGGTTAAGTCTAGGCTTCTGGATTTGGATGTCACATTTCTGAAACGAGAACTGAATTGTGTACTCTGCTGGCCTCCACAAGCGGTTCACATCACTATGTTCATATGGTCGAAGCAGAAGACAAGCAGCGAATTTGAAAGGAGTGCTGTGTTAGACACAAGGAGAACTCAAACAGATGCAGTTCCCCTCAGTTAAAAGCTCCCATTCCACTCTGTTTCCTGCTCCAAAAGTTCTGGAAGGTTTATAGCGTGGGTCCTCAAACTACGGCCCGCGGGACGGATCCGGCCCGCCATGCCCATTCACCCGGCCCGTGCCACCACCCCGCCCCCGCCGGTGTGCTCGCAGCACAGGCTGGAGGCGGTGGCTTGCTCACTCAGAGATGGTTCTGGACTCGTTGGGAGATCTCCCAGCGAGTTCAAAACCACCTCCAAGCGAAAAAGCCGCCGCCACGTGTCTCCCCTACGCACGTGCACTCGCCACTGCCTTGCGGTGCGGGCTGCAGGCGGTGGCTTGCTCGCTCGGAGATGGTTTTGGACTTGTTGGGAAATCTCCGAGCAAGCAAGCTGCCGCCGTGCGCACCGAACGCCACCTCGCACACACCGGCCCGGGTGCCCAGGCCCCCACTCCTCATCGGCCCGCGCGTGTGGCCGCCGCCTTTCAACTGGCCCCGTACTGAAAAAGTTTGAGGACCCCTGGTTTATCGCTTCTAATGGTAATCTTGAAAATACTCTAATAAGTTCTGAGAAAGGGGTAGGTAGATGCCTGAGGTCAACTCCAATATGCTGGCTGGGACTATTTGTTCTCTGTACCTCCTCTCTCAAACTGTTTCCATCTCCAGTCTCTTTCCTACTAGCTGCACCTGAGGAAGAGGGCAGCAACGCCTTTCCATAAGCCTTACGGGATCCAAATGCCACGTTTTTGTCTCCTGCCGTTACCATGGCTTTGCAGCCACACTGAGAAGTAACAGACACAATGACCCAATTGATAAACGTGCTGAAATACTGCAACCGCTCCGGCACCAGCAAATTTTATATACCTCGTGTTGTGCAGCACTCAGCAGCTGGAAACATTTTGAAACAGGCCTATCAAATATCAACACATACAGCCAGGTAACAGGCTTTGTCCCAGGTGTATTGACAGTTAAAGCAAGCAGCAGATATCCAGGTGTTACGTTGTTAAGAGCTTTAAGGGTTTTAAGAGTCAAAGGAGGGATAAAAATATACTGAAGAAGTATGTTTAATTCATGTCACAAACTCTGACAGAAAATTTAGATATGTCTCTGCCCATCACGTGAGAAATACAGCCGGGCGTGGTTCTGACTATATCTCCATGCACCTCTTGGACAGAGCGCATTACAGTCCACCCCACAATCACGTACCAAGGCAGCAATTCAACACACATTGGGAAGGATTACGTGCCACCCTAATCGACCCTGGCAATAAACCATAGTGCTTCAATGGTTGGACAAATGACCCTTGTGCACCTGACAGATGCCTGGGCTCAACACGGGTGGGTGTTCTCCTCCACTTTCTCCTTGGTCCTCCAGACGGCATCCCAGAGTCTGGGAAGTGGTGTGAGCTTGGATGACGTGACAACCTGGTGTGACAGCTTACCTGTGAGGGGCTCACATGTCTCACAAACCAGGCCACTGAGAACAAAGCCATCAAATGCGGGCTATTTACCTCCACCGTTGGTGACAACCGGGCTTCCTTTGTGGTCCTGGTACTGACTCTCTCGTCTCAGTCTCTGCTCTCTTGTGATTTCAGCCACCCGCAGAGGAAGATCAGAAAATTCATCTGTGGGCTTCATTCAAATCAACACAAGAAACAGATGATCAAGAAACATGCCACTCTATCGAGCTTTTAAAATAGGTTCTTCTGCGCACCATCACCTTCACAGGAAGTCTTCCTTCCTCAATTTACTACAGAAGTTTAAAACATAGGTAGGCCAAAACACAGTGTTTGCAGCATTTATTAGATGCTTTGAATTCATGTTGAATTTACATTTCCCCCATTGATTATTTATTTATTTAGGTAAAACTCTTCTACCGTGTCCACTGCTAACGTCTCGGCACGGCTTACATTAAGAAGAATGTGAATTGCTGGTGAACAGCTTGACTTAGTTTGTGTCTTTGGGCACGCAATGCCTCACAAAGGCAGAAGAGGCACAGGGAGTGACCGTCTGTGGAAGGGAGGCGTATTTTCTTCACATATTTCCTGAAGGCCACTTTGAGTGCCATCAGAGGAGAGAGAAACGTAGAAGAGATAGAGGAGGGATTGTTCAAAAAGGAGGCAAAGGCAGGAGGTGGCTTGCTCGCTTGTTTGGTTTTTGAGAGATTTTGGAGGGACAGAGGGTAGGAAAAAGCAGCTGGGTTATCAAACAGGGAAAGGCTGAGAAACAGTGTGGAACACGGAAATCATCAGTAGAGGATCGGAGAAAAACTGAGAAGGTGATGCAAACTGTAGAAGGCCTAGGAAAGACCTAAGGCACCCATAACGGTGGTCAGAAAAGAACTGAGGAAAATGGTGGGAGCACCTCCTATATATACTGGGGGTGGAGGAGGGAGGGGCTCCTGCTGGAGTGAATTTCTAGCAAGAAAACCTTCCTGACAACAGGTCCTGTACAGGCACATAGCCTGTATGTGTGATGCACACAGGCCATGAAGAGCAGCATTCCTTTCTGTGTCTCTGCAAGCTGCACAGCTGTGGATCCCCATCCAGTGTTTCAAAGCTGGTAGCAGCTCTCAAACCATTGACTCGACCTTTTCCAAACTGTAATGATTATAATACCAAGCTGGTGCCAGCTCCACAGCACAAAATCATGTCCTAAATTTTCCTAAGCAATGCATTTATTTTGGGAAATGAAATAAGACTAAGGAGCATAGATTATTTCCCCCAAAGTCAGACTTCTGATTGCCCAGAGGATCACAGAGAAGCAACTTCAAATGGTAAAGTGATCTATGAAGTTTCTGCTACAAGGAAATTTACATGGATATATCTTTAGATTAAATATGCTGAGTTACTGCATGCATGTGTGCAGTGATATCCTATCTTTAAAAAACCCATCAGCCAAATGCTGTTTGTTTTGAGGAATGGACACGATTAAAAGAATCCTCCAGAGTTTTAAAAATCCTCTGGAAGCACGATGAAGTACAGCACATTCGAGACACATTATCATATATTGTTAACTGACATTAAGCCAGTTATTCCATTCAGACATAATAATAAACTCTAATTTAAGGAAAACCAACCAACATCTCCATGTTGACTGAAGCCAGTGCATGATAGAAGGAATACATGGCCATGCTTCATAAACCATAATTTATTAAGCCAAATGGACAAACATGACTAGCCACATAACAGCATTGGTTTGCTCATTTCAAAAGCCTCCAGTTATGGGAAGATGTTCAGCTCAGCCCATGCATACTTCACATCTATTGCAAGTGAATCAACTGAGATCCAAAAAAGACTCAATACAGCCCCTCAGCTTTTTCTTTTCTGCAAATACCTTTATTATTATCATTATTTCATTTATGTGGTAGCTGTTTCATTTCTAGGAAAATACATTTATCTCTGTGCTTTTTAAATTTAAAGTGCTTCAAAATAAGAAGCAGTCCAAGCCACACTGTCTGCAAGCCAACCTGAGGTTATTTTCAATCTGAGATGTGGGAAATGATATGCTGGCCTCTGTCCTTGGGCCACTAAAAATACGTGGTTCCAGATTACAGTCTTCTAGCCATTCAGTGTCTAAGCCTTGTCCTGCTGTTCTGTCCTGCTTTTTCCCTTTTCATATATGCTACAATTATCCCCACACAAAAAACCCAACAAAAACAAGCTCACTTACTTCATTTCCTGACCACCTCTTGTCTCCGCTGTCCACACTGTTGAAGCCAGAATCCAGTGCTCCATACGGTCGGCTGGAGTACATCTCCTCATGGCTGTCAAGCAGGCAAGGTTTTAGTTATTGTACCATAAAAGCACTTCTTTGGGAAGATCAGACAGCAACTGGCACAAGGGACGTCATTCAACCTGTCAGCCTTTCATGCATGACGTGATCCTGCGAAAAAGCCCCCAGTTCCTTTGTGCTAGCCAACGTGTTTGCACCCCAGACCGTTGCCTTGGCCTGTAAAGCATTCAAAAACTGCCAACGTACGCTAGCACAAAGCAGCAGCACAACCCGCCATCACAGCCAACAACCCGCGAGCAAGTCTTGATGCTGCTGCAGCATGCCACCTGCGTCTTTTCTGTCTTAAAATGACAGGCGTGCTCTTCGGGAAGGGACCACCTCGTCAGGCCTATGATTTCCAAAGTACTTGGCACAATTTGGGGACTGAAACAGAAAGGGTAGCAGCCCTTTAGAAGCCATCTTGGAAGAGAAGAAAAAGGGGGATAGAAGTGAACTTCACAAACAAGAGACTCCAGTCGGGGGGGGGGGGACATCTAGTCCAATATTCTTCCATTCTCTCAGAAGAATTTCAAAGGAAATTAAAGACCAGCGATCAGCTTCACTCTACATAGATATGTTTGCGTGTGCATATCAAGGAGGAAGAAAGAGAAAAAGACCAATTCCAATTTCCTGTTTCATCTATTATCAGTTAATTTCTGTTACTTCAAAGTTTGTTGAAGGAGTGGGAGTAAGGGAATACTCCAGGTTTAGGAAATATCACTCAAGTAGTTACAGTACACCAGTTTTGCAAAACATATGCATTCTTTTCTGGAGGAACATGGAGGATACAATCATATGAAAGTTTGGACCAAAAAGCACCCCACAAGTGGGGCATTTTGAAGTCTTTTTCTCTCTCTCAACTTGCACTGGAGTGCGACTCAAGTTAAAAAACAATACACAAAGCCATTCATCCTGTGCTCCGTTCCTTCAGGCTGAATGGGCATGCAAGACATGGAGTATTTCTGAAAGGGCAATTGCCTAACGCTCAAAGGTGAAATATTTGCATATGGGAGGAATGTTGTGCGCAGAGTTGGGGGGGGGGCAGACTAGATGGCCTGGGAAGCCCCTTCTGAAGCCCCTTCTGACTTGCTCTGTTTCTATATACTTAACCATTTTACCTACAGACAGACAACAGAGGGGGTTTTTTGTTTTGTTTTTTTGCAGTTTGCATTGAAGACAGCCAGAATTCTGGGATACTATCATTTTCCTGTAATTGGAGCTATTTTTAAGGGATTCACAGCAAAAATCAAGCACTAAGTGCCTTTTGCAGAACATAAGATTATCTCATTTATTTAAATCTCTGCACTGCCTTTCAACTGAAACAAGGCTGTTTACTAACAACCAGGACCTGCTATAAGCTGCTTCTGTGTTATGCATAAGAAGCCACGAAATACTTCAAGCATGTTTCAGTGAGCTCCCAAGCAGTTCGAAGGCATTTTTCTCCATTAAATTGACATTCCTTATGTAGAATTGGAAGCGGACTGAGAGGATACAAAGCTAAGAGGGTGCTTTTGCAGCAGTCTCTCTGCTATTAATGTGCATTGTGACTAGACAGTTCAACACCGTGGCCATCGCAGAAACTGTGCATGGAAACTGCCCCAGACAGCAACAATCTAACAATGAGACTTGTCTAACCCACTGCAGATGGGCATGTAACAAAGAATTAACTGTCCAACTGGTGCTGGATGCCCTTGGGAGATCTACAGCGAGAGAGAAATAATGGCCAAGCCAGAAGTTTGGCCAATGGAGGGCTCCATCCAGGCATTGCTAATTGCAGGTCATTCCATATTGGGTTGTCACTTCCTTTAAAAATCAGTTATTTGCTGAACAACTTATAATTATTCTATATGTAGCAAGACTGAGGGGATTGTATTCTAAAAGAGCAGATCTCAACATGAGATTATTACAGAAAGCATGTGGCAAACATCAGCCCTGCTGGCACGATGCATTTCAAGTTGGGTTCTTATTCACTTGAATTTCTACTGGGGTACAACTCAAGCTTCTGCATGCAGGGCAATTGTAATGTAATGGTGCTGCTGAGGACAGTAGAGCCGAATAAATGGAACAGTTATAGAGGAAATCTCTGAAAGCACAGAACTCTGCTCCAATGTACTCCACAACTGCTGAAGGACCCAGCACCCATCATTCTAGAATCTCTACTTCTGTTTTAAAAGAGCTGCTTCTATCTGTCTTCAAGGATAAGGCAGAATGCAAATTGTCAATGGTTCAAAAGCCTAAATTCCTCTAGAGTGAGTGAAAGGCACATTGAACATAATTTCTAAGAGTCACAGAATGGTTCCTCAATATCTTCCATAGCTCCTCACCCTTTCCCATGAATATCTGAAGAATACACTTCACAAAGAGAAAGTGTTGTTTAATGTGCTGCAGAGCTACAATTTATGTATGTTGTAGAACCTAAAAGGATGAAAAGTAGAACCAGAAAAGCACGCTTTTTCAGGATGAAGCGCATGCCGACTTTTGTGTGTAGGCTGGAATATGGGGACTTTTAGATTTTAATAATAGAGCTGCTCAAACTTACTTCTATTCAACCCCTGTTTTAATTGTTGTTAAGCATCCTAACTGTAGTTTACTTTTATTGTGAAATCGTGCATAGCATAGATTAGTACAAAGACAATTTATAAAGTGTAACCATACACAACTGGTAACTGGTGATGCCATCAAATTTTGTAATTCATTGGCTCGCTAGTTGACCTTCATGTTTGTAAGGCATCCCTTTTTAACGAGTGTGGACCCATGTTTTACAACTTTGTTATTAAGTTTAAAATTGATCAAATTCATAAAATTTCAGTCCAGTCATGATAAAAAGAGCATTAAATCTGCAACTGACTGCAAGTAGGTTTTGTGATGGAAAGTGAGAGAAATGATGCGCATGCCCTTCTTAATTTTAATTACTTATCTGTCTCTTGGAATTTAATGAAAGGTCAAGGCAGGTGGATTTTTGCACCCTTTTGACAGCTAAACTACAAATACCACAGCACTGGAAGGATAAATGACTACCTGCAATTAACACAACTGATGAAAGAATTAATGAAACTCTCAGTTTTTGAATGGGTAGTTTTTAGGTGGAATTTATAAATGAAAAATATGTGGATATTTGGACTGCCTTTCTTAAAGTTTATGCATAATTATCTCAGACAACCATAGTATGCCTTGCTACATACAATTACATAGGGATATATAGCATAATAAAAACAAGAAGGGGGCTAAATAGCCCACCGATTAATCAAACAATAAACCATGGGTTAAATGCTGGCTTGTTCAGTCCAGGGTTCACATATCACACAATCTCTGATCAGGCCAACTGGAGGTGGTTCATCCAAAAATGGAAGCAGCTTGCATGCAGCTTATGAAATCCATGATCTGCCTCTGCACAATGTCATCACATACAAGGATCCCCAGTGTAACCTACAAATTGATTGCACTGCTTGTCTCTTTTAACTCCAGTTCCCTCCGTACTGATATGACTAAATCATTTCCTCAACTCTCACAAATTATTTTATTGACATGTGTTCTCTAATGCGAGCGTTATCAAGACCTCCATTTCTGTTCTCCTCTGAGTGCTTTTCATACTCCCCTCTGGGCCCACATGGGCTCCTCCGTTCCTTCCGATTTCCTATTATGCTCATGCCCGCTCTTTAAGCCACCTATTTTCTTCCTCTGACCAGGCAAGAGGAGGTAGTGCTACAGACACGGTAATTTTGCCCCTGGCTGAGTTCCGTTTTGCTCCCATTGCCAGGCTACCCTCTCTTCAGGGCTGGGGATGGGGGTCAACAAATCAGCCAAAAGTCATTTCTTCCTGCCAGCAAGAAAACAACAGCACTGCCTATAAACAAAGTGCAGTATACGTCTTCCTTTCCACCCAGTGAGAAGCAGCCTGCTCCCCCCCCCCCCGAATTAAAGGAAAGAGCTAGCAGCACACATGGCCTTGTTTCCCATAAACTGGAGAGGTCGGGGGGGGGGGGGGGGGGG